CAACACACACACAGACACACATCAACACACGTACACAGACACACATCAACACACACACAGACACACATCAACACACACACAGACACACATCAACACACACATGTACACAGACACACACCAACACACACACAGACACACATCAACACACACACACGTACACAGACACACACCAACACACACACAGACACACATCAACACACGCACATGTACACAGACACACACCAACACACACATATACACACATCAACACACACACGTACACACACACAACAACAACCGCCATTCGCCACTAAGTGGCGGTGACGTCACCACGACGCTTGTGCCAGGCCATGTGCACCTTGAGGCCACGTGAAGTGTCGAACGCCCGCTGGCAGGAGGTCACGGGGCAGACCCAGCAGGTGCCACGGGTCGACTGACCGAGATGACCGAGATGACTGGCCGATGCACCACCTGTGCCCCCTACTGTGCCAACTTGCTGTGCTTTAGCCACCCGGCGCTCCGCTCGTTGTTGTGAGCGTCGCTCCTCCGCCCTCCGTTGTTGCTGGAGGGCGACTGCCTCCAACTGCCCAGTAGCCTCAAGGTGCACCTAGCCTGGCACTGCCCAGTAGCAGCGTCCTTCACGAGCCTCCTCCACAGAGGCCGATCTTGACACCGCTGGTACCGGTCATCGGCAAGTCCACTCAGCTCCACGTCCTCCTGTACCACATCACTCCATCTCTTCTCCAGCCCGTGTCACTCACCCACACACTCACTCACTCACCCATCACTCCATCTCTTCTCTAGCCCGTGTCACTCACCCACACACTCACTCACTCACCCATCACTCCATCTCTTCTCTAGCCCGTGTCACTCACCCACACACTCACTCACTCACCCATCACTCCATCTCTTCTCTAGCCCGTGTCACTCACACACTCACCCACTCACTCACCCATCACTCCATCTCTTCTCTAGCCCGTGCCGCGCCGGTTCAAGCCCCCTCGATCCGGCCGAACAAAAGCTGTTTAGACATGCGGTGGCTGGGCATGCGGGCTACGTGACCCACCCAGCCAACGCAGCCTTGCCTGTCGGAGGAGCTCACCGATGGGACTTTGTCCAGATCTTCCAACACACACACAGGTCAACACACACACACACAGACACACACACACAGACACACGTCAACACACACACAAAGACACACACACACAGACACACGTCAACACACACAGACACACACACACAAAGACACACAGACACACACACGTCAACACACACACACAGACACACGTCAACACACACACAGACACACGTCAACACACACACACAGACACACGTCAACACACACACAGACACACATCAACACACACACAAAGACACACAGACACACGTCAACACACACACAAAGACACCAACACAGACACACACACAGACACACGTCAACACACACACAGACACACGTCAACACACCCACACACAGACACACGTCAACACACACACACACACGTCAACACACCCACACACAGACACACGTCAACACACACACACAGACACACGTCAACACACACACACACACACAGACACACGTCAACACACAGACACACGTCAACACACCCACACACAGACACACGTCAACACACACACACAGACACACGTCAACACACCCACACACAGACACACATCAACACACACACACGTACACAGACACACATCAACACACGTACACAGACACACATCAACACACACACAGACACACATCAACACACACACAGACACACATCAACACACGTACACAGACACACATCAACACGTACACAGACACATCAACACACACACACGTACACAGACACACATCAACACACGTACACAGACACACATCAACACACACACAGACACACATCAACACACGTACACAGACACACATCAACACACACACAGACACACATCAACACACACACAGACACACATCAACACACACATGTACACAGACACACACCAACACACACACAGACACACATCAACACACACACACGTACACAGACACACACCAACACACACACAGACACACATCAACACACGCACATGTACACAGACACACACCAACACACACATATACACACATCAACACACACACGTACACACACACAACAACAACCGCCATTCGCCACTAAGTGGCGGTGACGTCACCACGACGCTTGTGCCAGGCCATGTGCACCTTGAGGCCACGTGAAGTGTCGAACGCCCGCTGGCAGGAGGTCACGGGGCAGACCCAGCAGGTGCCACGGGTCGACTGACCGAGATGACCGAGATGACTGGCCGATGCACCACCTGTGCCCCCTACTGTGCCAACTTGCTGTGCTTTAGCCACCCGGCGCTCCGCTCGTTGTTGTGAGCGTCGCTCCTCCGCCCTCCGTTGTTGCTGGAGGGCGACTGCCTCCAACTGCCCAGTAGCCTCAAGGTGCACCTAGCCTGGCACTGCCCAGTAGCAGCGTCCTTCACGAGCCTCCTCCACAGAGGCCGATCTTGACACCGCTGGTACCGGTCATCGGCAAGTCCACTCAGCTCCACGTCCTCCTGTACCACATCACTCCATCTCTTCTCCAGCCCGTGTCACTCACCCACACACTCACTCACTCACCCATCACTCCATCTCTTCTCTAGCCCGTGTCACTCACCCACACACTCACTCACTCACCCATCACTCCATCTCTTCTCTAGCCCGTGTCACTCACCCACACACTCACTCACTCACCCATCACTCCATCTCTTCTCTAGCCCGTGTCACTCACACACTCACCCACTCACTCACCCATCACTCCATCTCTTCTCTAGCCCGTGCCGCGCCGGTTCAAGCCCCCTCGATCCGGCCGAACAAAAGCTGTTTAGACATGCGGTGGCTGGGCATGCGGGCTACGTGACCCACCCAGCCAACGCAGCCTTGCCTGTCGGAGGAGCTCACCGATGGGACTTTGTCCAGATCTTCCAACACACACACAGGTCAACACACACACACACAGACACACACACACAGACACACGTCAACACACACACAAAGACACACACACACAGACACACGTCAACACACACAGACACACACACACAAAGACACACAGACACACACACGTCAACACACACACACAGACACACGTCAACACACACACAGACACACGTCAACACACACACACAGACACACGTCAACACACACACAGACACACATCAACACACACACAAAGACACACAGACACACGTCAACACACACACAAAGACACCAACACAGACACACACACAGACACACGTCAACACACACACAGACACACGTCAACACACCCACACACAGACACACGTCAACACACACACACACACGTCAACACACCCACACACAGACACACGTCAACACACACACACAGACACACGTCAACACACACACACACACACAGACACACGTCAACACACAGACACACGTCAACACACCCACACACAGACACACGTCAACACACACACACAGACACACGTCAACACACCCACACACAGACACACGTCAACACACACACACAGACACACGTCAACACACACACACACAGACACACGTCAACACACACACACAGACACACGTCAACACACCCACACACAGACACACGTCAACACACACACACAGACACACGTCAACACACCCACACACAGACACACGTCAACACACACACACAGACACACGTCAACACACACACACAGACACACACACACACCCACATACACAGACACACACACACACACCCACACATACACACAGACACAGACACCCGTCAACACACACACACACAGACACACGTCAACACACACACACACAGACACACGTCAACACACACACACACAGACACACGTCAACACACACACACACACGTCAACACACCCACAGACACACCCACACACACAGACACACGTCAACACACACACACAGACACACGTCAACACACACACACACAGACACACGTCAACACACACACACAGACACACGTCAACACACACACACAGACACACACACACACCCACACATACACAGACACACACACATACACAGACACACACACACACAGACACCCGTCAACACACACACACACAGACACACGTCAACACACACACACACAGACACACGTCAACACACACACACACAGACACACGTCAACATACACACACATACAGACACACACAGACACACGTCAACACACACACAGACACACAGACACACGTCAACACACACACACACACAGACACACGTCAACATACACACACACAGACACACACAGACACACGTCAACACACACAGACACACGTCAACACACCCACACACAGACACACGTCAACACACACAGACACACATCAACACACACCCACACACAGACACACGTCAACACACACAGACACACATCAACACACACACACACACAGACACACGTCAACATACACACACACACAGACACACACAGACACACGTCAACACACACACACACAGACACACGTCAACACACACACACACACAGACACACGTCAACACACACACAGACACACGTCAACACACACACACACACAGACACACACAGACACACACACACACAGACACACGTCAACACACACACAGACACACGTCAACATACACACACACACAGACACACACAGACACACGTCAACACACACACACACAGACACACACAGACACACACACACACAGACACACGTCAACACACACACACACAGACACACGTCAACATACACACACACACAGACACACGTCAACACACACAGACACACGTCAACACACACCCACACACAGACACACGTCAACACACACAGACACACGTCAACACACACACACACAGAGACACACACAGACACACACACACACACAGACACACGTCAACACACACACACACAGACACACGTCAACACACACACAGACACACGTCAACACACACAGACACACGTCAACACACACCCACACACAGACACACGTCAACACACAGACACACGTCAACACACACACACACAGACACACGTCAACACACACACACACACAGACATACGTCAACACACACACACACACAGACACACGTCAACACACACCCACACACAGACACACGTCAACACACACCCACACACAGACACGCGTCAACACACACACACACATACACACACCCACACACAGACACACGTCAACACAGACACACGTCAACACACACCCACACACAGACACACGTCAACACACACACAGACACACGTCAACACACACACACATACACACGTCAACATACACCCACACACAGACACACGTCAACACCCACACACAGACACACGTCAACACACACACACATACACACGTCAACACACACACAGACACACGTCAACACACACCCACACACAGACACACGTCAACACACACACAGACACACGTCAACACACACACACACAGACACCCGTCAACACACACACACACAGACACACGTCAACACACACACACACAGACACCCGTCAACACACACACACACAGACACACGTCAACACACACACACACAGACACCCGTCAACACACACACACACAGACACACGTCAACACACACAGACACACAGACACACGTCAACACACACATCTCGTGCCGATGCCACCAGGGCATCTGCGTCAGTGAAGGGCGCTTCTTGAATGCGTTGCCTGGTGAAGGAACTTTTCACGAAACACCCGGTCCCGATTGTATCACCCGTCCCGATTGTATCACCGAGGTAAGAACTTCTCACTATCACAGCAGAGCGTCTGCAGTAGTGTGGTGTGTGTTGTAGTGTGTGGTAGTGTGTGGCAGTGTATTGTATAATGATGTAGTGTATAATGTAGTGTATAATGTAGTGTATAGCAGTGTAGTGTATAGTAGTGTAGTGTATAATAGTGTAGTGTATAGTAGTGTAGTGTCTATTGTAGTGTATAGTAGTGTAGTCTGCAGTAGTGTGGTGTGTGTTGTAGTGTGTAGTAGTGTATTGTATAATGATGTAGTGTATAATGTAGTGTATTGTAATGTATTGTATAATGATGTAGTGTATAATGTAGTGTATGTTAGTCTAGTATATAGTTTATTAGTATATAGTAGTGTAGTGTATCATGGTGTACTGCATGGTGTAGTGTATAGGAGTGTAGTAGTATATAGTAGTCTATTGTGTAGTAGTGTAGTGTATAGTGTCGTGTATAGTAGTGTATAGTGTATATAGAAGTGTAGCGTATAGTAGTGTATAGTGTAGTCTATAGTAGTGTAGTGTGTAATAGTGTATAGTGTAGTGTATAGTAGTGTAGTGTATAGTAGTGTATAGTGTAGTAGTGTGTAGTGTATAGTGTAGTGTATAGTGTAGTGTAGTGTATAGTGTAGTGTATAGTGTAATGTAGTGTATAGTGTAGTGTATAGTAGTGTATAGTGTAGTTTATAGTAGTGTATTGTGTATAGTGTAGTGTATAGTGTAGTGTATAGTGTATAATAGTGTATAGTGTATAATAGTGTATAGTGTAGTGTATAGTGTAGTGTATAGTGTAGTGTATAGTAGTATAGTAGTGTATAGTAGTATAGTAGTGTATAGTAGTATAGTAGTGTATTGTGTAGTAGTGTAGTGTGTATAGTAGTGTAGTGTGTATAGTAGTGTATAGTAGTGTAGTGTATAGTGTAGTGTATAGTGAAGTGTATAGTAGTGTATTGTGTAGTAGTGTAGTGTATAGTGTAGTGTATAGTGTAGTGTATAGTGTAGTGTATAGTGTAGTGTATAGTGTATAATAGTGTAAAGTGTCGTGTACAGTGACTTTGTAGGATGAACTTTGAGGTGTATGAGGTGCACGGGTTGACCACCGAAGTCTGAATTGTTCTGTAACAAGATGAGGCACCGATGATGAGATAGGGGCGACCATAAATGACGTCACGCACCTAGTGGGGGAGAGGGGGTCAGACATTTGTGACGATGTGTGACGAGGGGGGCATGGGGGGTTTGAGAATGTGACGTTACGTAAAAATGCGTAACTTTAAATAAATATAAACAATATAATTGTTTTAACAACACAAATTTTTTTTTAAATTTTCATTATTAACTGTTAGATTATTTAAAGTTACTAAGTTCACCTTTTATTTATTCCATGAATGAGCATTTTGCTTCTCCGTGGAAGAATGGAGAAGAAAAATGTTGTAGTAGTGTATTGTATAATGATGTAGTGTATAGTGTAGTGTATAGTAGTGTATTGTATAATGATGTAGTGTATAATGTAGTGTATAGTAGTGTATTGTATAATGATGTAGTGTATAGTGTAGTGTATAGTAGTGTATTGTATAATGATGTAGTGTATAATGTAGTGTATAGTAGTGTATTGTATAATGATGTAGTGTATAGTGTAGTGTATAGTAGTGTATTGTATAATGATGTAGTGTATAGTGTAGTGTATAGTAGTGTATTGTATAATGATGTAGTGTATAGTGTAGTGTATAGTAGTGTATTGTATAATGATGTAGTGTATAGTGTAGTGTATAGTAGTGTATTGTATAATGATGTAGTGTATAGTGTAGTGTATAGTAGTGTATTGTATAATGATGTAGTGTATAATGTAGTGTATAGTAGTGTATTGTATAATGATGTAGTGTATAGTGTAGTGTATAGTAGTGTATTGTATAATGATGTAGTGTATAGTGTAGTGTATGGTAGTGTATTGTATAATGATGTAGTGTATAATGTAGTGTATGGTAGTGTATTGTATAATGATGTAGTGTATAGTGTAGTGTATAGTAGTGTATTGTATAATGATGTAGTGTATAGTGTAGTGTATAGTAGTGTATTGTATAATGATGTAGAGTATAGTGTAGTGTATGGTAGTGTATTGTATAATGATGTAGTGTATAGTGTAGTGTATGGTAGTGTATTGTATAATGATGTAGTGTATAATGTAGTGTATGGTAGTGTATTGTATAATGATGTAGTGTATAGTGTAGTGTATAGTAGTGTATTGTATAATGATGTAGTGTATAGTGTAGTGTATAGTAGTGTATTGTATAATGATGTAGTGTATAGTGTAGTGTATGGTAGTGTATTGTATAATGATGTAGTGTATAGTGTAGTGTATAGTAGTGCATTGTATAATGATGTAGTGTATAGTGTAGTGTATAGTAGTGCATTGTATAATGATGTAGTGTATAGTGTAGTGTATAGTAGTGTATTGTATAATGATGTAGTGTATAATGTAGTGTATGGTAGTGTATTGTATAATGATGTAGTGTATAGTGTAGTGTATAGTAGTGTATTGTATAATGATGTAGTGTATAGTGTAGTGTATAGTAGTGTATTGTATAATGATGTAGTGTATAGTGTAGTGTATAGTAGTGTATTGTATAATGATGTAGTGTATAATGTAGTGTATAGTAGTGTATTGTATAATGATGTAGTGTATAGTGTAGTGTATAGTAGTGTATTGTATAATGATGTAGTGTATAATGTAGTGTATGGTAGTTTATTGTATAATGATGTAGTGTATAGTGTAGTGTATAGTAGTGTATTGTATAATGATGTAGTGTATAGTGTAGTGTATAGTAGTGTATTGTATAATGATGTAGTGTATAGTGTAGTGTATGGTAGTGTATTGTATAATGATGTAGTGTATAGTGTAGTGTATAGTAGTGTATTGTATAATGATGTAGTGTATAATGTAGTGTATGGTAGTGTATTGTATAATGATGTAGTGTATAATGTAGTGTATGGTAGTGTATTGTATAATGATGTAGTGTATAATGTAGTGTATAGTAGTGTATTGTATAATGATGTAGTGTATAATGTAGTGTATAGTAGTGTATTGTATAATGATGTAGTGTATAGTGTAGTGTATAGTAGTGTATTGTATAATGATATAGTGTAGTGTATAGTAGTGTATTGTATAATGATGTAGTGTATAGTGTAGTGTATAGTAGTGTATTGTATAATGATGTAGTGTATAGTGTAGTGTATGGTAGTGTATTGTATAATGATGTAGTGTATAGTGTAGTGTATAGTAGTGTATTGTATAATGATGTAGTGTATTGTATAATGATGTAGTGTATAGTGTAGTGTATGGTAGTGTAGTGTATAATGATGTAGTGTATAATGTAGTGTATGGTAGTGTATTGTATAATGATGTAGTGTATAATGTAATGTATAGTAGTGTATTGTATAATGATGTAGTGTATAATGATGTAGTGTATAATGTAGTGTATAGTAGTGTATTGTATAATGATGTAGTGTATAATGTAGTGTATAGCAGTGTATTGTATAATGATGTAGTGTATAATGTAGTGTATGGTAGTGTAGTCTGTAGTAGTGTGGTGTGTGTTGTAGTGTGTAGTAGTGTATTGTATAATGATGTAGTGTATATGGTAGTGTAGTGTATAATGATGTAGTGTATAGTAGTGTATTGTATAATGATGTAGTGTATAGTGTAGTGTATAGTAGTGTATTGTATAATGATGTAGTGTATAGTGTAGTGTATGGTAGTGTAGTCTGTAGTAGTGTGGTGTGTGTTGTAGTGTGTAGTAGTGTATTGTATAATGATGTAGTGTATAATGTAGTGTATGGTAGTGTATAGCAGTGTAGTGTATAATACTTGTTGTGTATAGTAGTGTATAGTATTGTAGTGTGTAGTGTAGTGTATAGTATTGTAGTGTGTAGTGTAGTGTATAGTATTGTAGTGTAGTGTATAGTAGTGTATAGTGTAATGTATAGTGTAGTGTGTAGTAGTGTAGTGTATAGTAATGTAGTGTATAGTGTAGTGTATAGTGTAGTGTGTAGTAGTGTAGTGTGTATAGTGTAGTGTATAATATTGTATGGTAGTGTATAGTAATGTAGTGTATAGTGTAGTGTGTAGTAGTGTAGTGTATAGTAGTGTATAGTAATGTAGTGTATAGTGTAGTAGTGTAGTGTGTAGTAGTGTAGTGTGTAAAGTGTAGTGTATAATAGTGTATAGTGTAGTGTATAGTGTAGTGTAAATTTTGTAAAAAATATATATTGTTATTAAACATTTTTATTTTAATGATTCTACCAGGGAATTTTCATTATGTGGAATTAATATGATTGTTATAATTGTACTCTCAATTTAGCTTCGTTCTACTACAAAGTTTCAAGTGTTTTTTTTATTGTTAAAATAACTTTTAATATTTTATAGTTTTAAGAGAATTTCAATATAACATTCTGAACATCTGCAGTTTTAGTTGAATATTTTCAGGTGAATTTTATGCTAAATTTCAGCTTTACAACGCCTCCTTTTTGATCAATGTTTTCTCCCACAACATCAGAGTACAGCGCCACATTAAATACGCACTACAAGGACAATAGTTTAAAGCGATTTGAAGCATGTTTCATTTTCAAAATGGAAATATGGTTTTTGAGGGGGGGGCAGAGCTTTGTGACGTCACATTTGAGGGGGGGTCTGACTTTTTGTGACGCCGTGTGACGAGGGGGGAGGGGGGGGGTCAAAAATCAGCAACGTCATTTATGGACCACTCCTCGACTTTCCAATAACTTTGAGGGCGATGGCGACCAACAGTGAACGCGTCAGGCAGTCTTGCGTGCACGCCAGGGTCAAGGCTTTCATTGCTTCTACATACTATTAAGATCCCCTCCCTTTGTTAATGCTACCCCCTGCCCCCCTCCCTTTGGTGCTGCTGATCCTGCATAATGCACGGGCATAATAGGACTTTGAACCCCCCCCGCCCACCTCCTACGCATTTCCCATGAATATGCTGAATTCCTCTTGATATGCACATTCTTTTGTTAAGGCGCTCTTCTTCTTCCACCTCCAACTCAGCTTATATATAAGCTCCTGGCTTGGCAGTGTCTCATTCTTCACCTGAAGACGGCTGCTTGCGTTGTAGCCGAAACGTCGTGAGAATTATGTTATTGTGTTTTATTTTTATTATTTTATTACTTCCCTTCTACGTGACGACTTTACCGAAAGAACCAAGAAGAAGGCTGTTTGCTATCAACAACGTCAGGTGGCGAGAATGTGCGGTTGCTACACTGAAGGTGGACCCGGCATTCGCGTTTTGCTTTCTTAGTTTGCCGTCTTGTTGACGTTGCTGCTGGTCTCCTGGTTTTTGCTTGACCGACAACGAAGCAGTCCGTTCATGAGTTGACCCGGGGTCGTGTCAACTGAGCCGTGAGCTCTCATTGTTTTTTTTACAAGGAGTCATGTTTGCATAGACCACAATACCTGCAGTCATAATGCAAACAAAAAACGTTGATTGACCAATTAACTTCAAGGACAGTGCATACATTATCAGAGTTATGCAAACATGACTCCTTGTAAAAAAAGGGGTCAGTTTTGTTGCCAGATAGAAGGGTGAAAAACCAATTATCATATTTTTTCTTCTGGCAAATGAGGTTCCAATGGTGTAAATGCTTACCCCGAGCTCTCATACTTTGACGGTGCGTTGTCATTGAGTTGTGCGCCTTTTGGCGTCAACTGGTCCAACACCATGTGAGACTAGGCTCTAAGGAAAGCTGTCTCGGGTGTGGACCAATCAACTTCAAGGACAGTGCACATACATTATCAGAGTTGTGTTTTTTTTGCGTTATGACTGCAGGTATTGTGGTCTATGCAAACATGATTCCTTGTAAAAAAAGGTGTCAGTTTTGTTGCCAGATAGAAGGATAAAAAAAACAATTATCAACCCCGTGTCGTTGATGTTCCTTCCGTCTTTGTTCCGCAGGAATTGACCGATTCTCTGAGAAAATTCCCCGCCGCAAAAGCCGCGACACCGAAAACATGAGCTGCCTGAAGGTCACTTCGGTTATCGTCACGATCGTCGTGGTTCAAACGTTGTTGTTTTACCATTTCCTGAAGGTAATTCTGTAGTAGATCTGATGATCTCAAATAGGATATCTACAGATTCACTCCACCATCAATGCTAGAGATGTATAACCATTGGACAGGATCACTACAATACAGATTCACTTCACCATCAATGCTAGAGATGTATAACCATTAGACAGGATCACTACAATACAGATTCACTTCACCATCAATGCTAGAGATGTATAATCATTAGACAGGTCCACTACAATACAGATTCACTTCAACATCAATGTTAGAGATTAATAACCATTCGACAGGTTCACTACAATACAGATTCACTTCACCATCAATGCTAGAGATGTATAACCATTGGACAGGTTCACTACAATACAGATTCACTTCACCATCAATGCTATAGATGTATAACCATTAGACAGGTTTACTACAATACAGATTCACTTCACCATCAATGCTAGAGATGTATAACCATTCGACAGGTTCACTACAATACAGATTCACTTCACCATCAATGCTAGAGATGTATAACCATTAGACAGGTTCACTACAATACAGATTCACTTCACCATCAATGCTAGAGATGTATAACCATTGGACAGGTTCACTACAATACAGATTCACTTCACCATCAATGCTAGAGATGTATAACCATTGGACAGGATCACTACAATACAGATTCACTTCACCTTCAATGCTAGAGATGTATAACCATTAGACAGGTACACTACAATACAGATTCACTTCACCATCAATGCTAGAGATGTATAACCATTCGCAGGTCCACTACAATATAGATTCACTCCACCATCAATGCTAGAGATGAATAACCATTCTACAGGTTCACTACAATACAGATTCACTTCACCATCAATGCTAGAGATGTATAACCATTGGACAGGTTCACTACAATACAGATTCACTTCACCATCAATGCTAGAGACGTATAACCATTGGACAGGATCACTACAATACAGATTCACTTCACCATCAATGCTAGAGATGTATAACCATTGGACAGGATCACTACAATACAGATTCACTTCACCATCAATGCTAGAGATATATAACCATTGGATAGGTTCACTACAATACAGATTCACTTCACCATCACAGCTAGAGATGTATAACCATTGGACAGTTTCACTACAATACAGATTCACTTCACCATCAATGCTAGAGACGTATAACCATTAGACAGGATCACTACAATACAGATTCACTTCACCATCAATGCTGCTAGAGATGTATAACCATTGGACAGGTCCACTACAATACAGATTCACTTCACCATCAATGCTAGAGATGTATAACCATTCGACAGGTTCACTACAATACAGATTCACTTCACCATCAATGCTAGAGATGTATAACCATTGGACAGGTTCACTACAATACAGATTCACTTCACCATCAATGCTAGAGATGTATAACCATTGGACAGGATCACTACAATACGGATTCACTTCACCATCAATGCTAGAGATGTATAACCATTAGACAGGTTCACTACAATACAGATTCACTTCACCATCAATGCTAGAGATGTATAACCATTCGACAGTTCCACTACAATACAGTCACTTCACCATCAATGCTAGAGATGTATAACCATTGGACAGTTCCACTACAATACAGATTCACTTCACCATCAATGCTAGAGATGTATAACCATTGGACAGGTTCACTACAATACAGATTCACTTCACCATCAAAGCTAGAGATGTATAACCATTGGACAGGATCACTACAATACAGATTCACTTCACCATCAAAGCTAGAGATGTATAACCATTGGACAGGTTCACTATAATACAGATTCACTTCACCATCAATGCTAGAGATGTATAACCATTGGACAGGATCACTACAATACAGATTCACTTCACCATCAATACTAGAGATTAATAACCATTGGACAGGATCACTACAATACAGATTCAGTTCACTACAATAGGATTCTACAGATTAACTCCATTGTGGATTCTACAGATTAACTGCACTGTGGATTCTACAGATTAACTGCACTGTGGATAATTCAGAGTCACTACTTATAAGCAGTTGCAGTTGGAGGCTTGTGTTGCGATCGAAACGTCGTGGGTTTTTTGCTTTTAATTTGTTAACATTTTTAATTTAATTATATTTTTATTAAAATTTTCCATTTACGTGACTTTACCGAAAGAACCAAGAATATCATCATCATCATTTACTTTCAGAATAATAATTATTTTCATTATACTGCTTTCACTCATTAACGCCCATTCATTAAATCCATTCATCATCATCATTACTGTCGTAATAATACGAATTATGCTCATGATATGGCTTTCACTCATTAACCCCCATTCATTCTATCGATAATTATCTATCTTCTTGGTTCTTTCGGTAAAGTCACGTAGAAGGGAAGTAATAAAATAATAAAAATAAAACATAATAAAAAACAATTTTAAAATAATAAAAATAATAAAAATAAAATATTATTTAAAATAATAAAAATAAAACATAATAAAATACAATTCTCACGACGTTTCGGCCACAACGCAAGCAGCCGTCCTCACCTGAAGCGTCGTGAGAATTATTGTATTATGTTTTATTTTTATTATTTTATTATTTCCCTTCTACGTGACTTTACCGAAAGAATCAAGAAGATGAATCCCTGCAGTCACGAAAGCTTTAAATCGACATTTATTTTATTATGTTTAATTGTAATTATTTTATTACTTCCCTTCTACGTGACGACTTTACCGAAAGAACCAAGATGATGAATCCCTGCTGCAATCACGAAAGAAGCTTTAAATCGAAACACGCTCGGGTATAAGAATTAATTTGACCCTTTCTGGCAACGCATCACGAGTTCGGAAGAAGTTCAAACACCCCAAAGCAAAAATCATAAAACACTCCCCCCCCTCCCTCCCCCCACCAGATCTACCGGCAATCTGAGGTGGAGCCAAGCGCGGGTCACCACGCCGCCTCCATCGTCCCGCCGGCACCGGCGCCGGCGACATCGCCCGGACCAGCGCCGGCGGGGGCGGTGAAGACGTCCCACCGGCGGTACGAGCTGACGCGCTGGGACCTGCCCGTGACCACCAACCTGAGCGCCGTCTCGTCCGCTCAGCTCAGCGTCGTCACCGTCGTGTCCGTCGCTGGACGAGCGACAGCAACAACGACGACAACGACGACAACGGCGGTGGCCACAGCGGTGGGCGACTCCGTGCTGCTCAGGGTGGAGATGCGCGACGGGGCGGGCCGGCCGAAGCGTCACGGCGGAGACTTCCTGGCGGCTCGAGTCCACAACGTCGCCCTGGGGGCCGCCGCCTCGGGGGTCGTGACGGACAACGGGGACGGCAGCTACGCGGTGGAGCTGGTGGCGGCGTGGCCCGGCGAGGGGCTGCTGGAGGTGACGATGGTGAACCCGAGCGAGGCGGTGGGGCTGCTGGAGAGGGTCAGGGAGTCGCTGCCGGACAAAGTGAGCTTCTGGGGCCTGTTCGAGTCAGGCCGAGTCAAGGCGAAGGCCGCGTGCCATGTGCTGCTCAACGCCAGCGGGGAGGTGTGCGACTACACCGACCCGGAGCTGGGCGAGCCGTGGCTGTGCGAGAAGCCGCCGGGTCTGCCCTGCCACTCGCTGCGGGGACACTGGTCCTACAACAAGTACCCGCGCATCTTCGCCGACGACGAGAAGAGGATTCTCTCAAGGTCACGGCGATTACAACGTGTAATCTTATTTGTATTTTAGTATTTTAAGATTGTTTAATCAGGCTAATTAACATTTACATTTTGCATTTTATAAGGTCTACTTATTCATAATTTTAAAGATTTTAGCCCTTTAGTATTACTTATACTTTGTAACGCTAGTATAGTTGGAGTGTATAACTTTTTATATAAGTTAAGATTCCTACTTGTTCAATGTATGCACCGTCCCGCCATAGTGAATTCCTTGTTTGTGCAAACTTACACGGCGATTAAAACCGTTTCTGATTCTGATAACGAGAGCAGTCGCCATGATGTGTTACCGTGTGTGTGTGTGCGTGTTTACATGTAATGTGAGGATATATCCGGCTCAATGACGTATCACAACTCGTCACGGTGATTGGCTCTGCCGGTCCTGGTTTACAGCCAATGGGAGGAAGCCTAGGGGCGTGGCCCTGACGTCATGGGAAGGTGACAGCTGTAGGGAGATGATTGGTTCTGCTGGCTTTGGCCTCAGCCAATGGGGAGAGGAGTCAGGGGCGTGGCCCTGACGTCATGGGAAGGTGACAGCTGTAGGGAGATGATTGGTTCTGCTGGCTTTGGCCTCAGCCAATGGGGAGAGGAGTCAGGGGCGTGGCCCTGACGTCATGGGAAGGTGACAGCTGCAAGTAGATGATTGGTTCTGCTGGCTTTGGCCACAGCCAATGGGGAGACGAGTCAGGGGCGTGGTCCCGGGAGCTTACGATGGAGTCTAGAAGATTCCATGGAGGCTAACCAGGATTGGTGGAAACGTACCACGTGACCCGGGTATTAAATAGGGGTGGAGACAAACGACACGTGGTCGGAACGGGAACGAACAGAGGAAGGGGGCCACGCGGGAGCGGGGTCCAGGCTGCCACGTGGTCCGGGCTGCCACGTGGTCCGGGCTGCCACGTGGTCCGGGCTGCCACGTGGTCCGGGCTGCCACGTGGTCCGGGCTGCCACGTGGTCCGGGCTGCCACGTGGTCCGGGCTGCCACGTGGTCCGGGCTGCCACGTGGTCCGGGCTGCCACGTGTTCCGGGCTGCCACGTGGTCCGGGCTGCCACGTGGTCCAGGCTGCCCACGTGGTCCAAGCTGCCACGTGGTCCAGGCTGCCACGTGGTCCAGGCTGCCCACGTGGTCCAGGCTGCCCACGTGGTCCAGGCTGCCACGTGGTCCAGGCTGCCACGTGGCAGTGCGTGTCTCTGTCCCTCTCAAGCTGTCTGTCTGTCAGCAGCGTGAAGTAAACTGACACAAGTTGAATAAAAATAAACCCGTAAAAACAACATTTTTCACTATAAATCTTTTATATGCGTGGCATCGGGGCGGTTAGAGTCCTCTCGTCCTCTGGCTTGAGATGGCTGCCACCTATGGGTCAGACGATTGTCTGGCAGCATTAAACAATTAGTAATTAAATATTTCAAAAAAATTCCCTAAAAAGTGTAAAATTTTGGAAAAAAAATTTTCACGAACATTAATTGTCTCGCACAACGAGTCTGTGTGCAAAATGTCAGCTCGATTGGATCACGGGAAGTGGGTTAAAAAACGACCGAAAGATTTGCACGGTCGTAAGCAAGCAAGCAAGCATGCAAGCAAGCGAACTTAATATAAAGGATTTAAAAAGACGGATTCCAGAAGTCACCTCAACGAGCGTTATTACATTTGCGCCCGGCAAAAAAACACCCTCTTGGCTCCTCGGCGGTGATGGACGGTAACGCGGTGGCTGGATGTGAGCATCTTCTTGGTTCTTTCGGTAAAGTCACGTAGAATGGAAATAATAAAATAATAGTAAAAATAAATATATAATTAAAAACATAATTAAATTATTCTCACGACGGTTTCTGAATGACTCTGTCTTCTCGACAGACCTGTTCTCCACCTGAAGACGGCTGCTTGCGTTGTGGCCGAAACGTCGTGAGAATTATTTTAATATGTTTTTTATTTATTTCCATTCTACGTGACTTTACCGAAAGAACCAAGAAGATGAATCCCTGCAGTCACGAAAGCTTTAAATCGAAAAGAAAAAAGAGAATTCCTGCTGTGGTCTCCCACCTCATGATGATTGCTTGTGTTGCGATCGAAACGTCGTGATTTATTTTATTGTACGTGCTGTGTCTAAAGAACGCCTTTGTTATCGTGGCAAGGACACTTCTATAAACAAAGGGTAGGAGCAGCAATGGGCTCTCTTCTGTCTCCTGCGATTGCGAACTTGTACACGAAATCTTTAAATCGAAATTGGATGTGAGCAGTGCCATGGAGGGAATGGACAATTCCGAAATCGGCTCCACCCCTCATCGTGCTTGTGTAATAACACGCTGGAGACGGCTTGTAGAATCGGTCCTTTTATTTCACTTCCTTTGCAGTTCACAAACACTCCCCGTTGCTGGCAGGCAACGGGAAGTGGGCAGACAGCCACCAGAGACCCACCACCACGTGGCACCCGGAGCCCCACTTGCGCGTGGCCTCTCCCTCTCTTAGTTCCGTGTCTGACCCCGTGTCTCTCCTCTCTCACCTTATTTAACGCCTGGCTCACGTGGTACCCTCCAGCCAATCCTCAATAGCCTGCGCCGAATGTTCCAGATCCCCCATCAACTCCCGGGACCACGCCCCTGACTTGTCTTCCCATTGGCTGAGGCCAAGACCAGCGCAACCAATCAGCTAGCTGACATCCCGTGATCACGCCGAGGCCATGCTCCCAGGCTCTCCCCCCATTGGCTGTAAAGCGGGACCGGCAGAGCCGATCACCACGTGAATCTGACATAGGCTCTTATTACACTTGTAACCACCACAGCGGCCAAATGGGGACTCTGGATGGGCGCGAGGGGCTGGTAACTCTTCAATTAATTGCCACGCGGAATGTTCGAACGCTTACTGCAGAGCAGAGGTCGCAAACGGGTTTTGATTCTTTACCCGTACCCGGCCGCACCAGGGTCGCAAACGGGTACCCGTACCCGGCCGGGTACGGGTAGGGTATGGGTGTCGGGTACCTGATTGCGACCTCTGCGATGAAGCCATGTTGCAGGCGTGGGTGGGTTGATTCTAGGAACTTGAATTGTGAGAAAAGACAAGACGTTGGGAAATGAGTGACAAACGGTGACTCACCAGTGACTCACGGCCTACCCGTACCCGTACCCGGCCGCACCAGGGTCGCAAATGGGTACCGGGTATCGGGTAGGGTAGATGACGCCAAAAGGTCGAACACCATATGAGACTAGGCTCTAACGAAAGCTGTCTCTGGTGTGGACCAATCAGTTTCAAGGACAATGCATACATTATCAGAGTATTGTTTGCATTTGACTGCAAGTATAGTGGTTAATGTAAACATGATTCCTTGCTAAAGGTGTCAGTTTTGTTGCCAGAAAAAAGGGGAAAACCCCTATTAGTATATTTTGGTACTGGCAAAGGAGGTCCCATGATGAGATACAACAACAGCAACAATAATTTTAAAGAAATTAGTTTTCCATCTAATTGTGTGATGGACTGGCCTTGTAGGAGCGAGCGAGCGGCGATGATAGCCTCTGTCTGGACTCTCACTCAACCCCTCTGTGTGGCTGCATTGCAGGGAGTACCTCCACGCCAATCTGCCCGTGTCGCAGCGCGTGCAAGCGGTGACGGCGGCGGTGGTGGCGGTGGCGGTGAACGGTGAGTGACCGCGAGCTCGCTCCGCTGGATGTCCACCGTGTAGTGTACGGAGGTCGGACACTTCACTGAAACTTTAACAAAGTTGTTGTCTTACCCGGTGTAAAGTCCACACTAAGTTGCTCCCTTACCAAATATACATCAGCAGGCGTCCGGGTCCGAGATTTAAACCCACGACCTCCTGGACTCGAGGTGAGGTAGTTAACATCTCACCACGAGGAGAGAGAGACACAGATTCCAAATATACAGCAGCAGGCGACCGGGTCCGAGATTAAACCCACGACCTCCTGTACACGAGGTGAGGTAGTTAACATCTCACCACGAGGAGAGAGAGACGCAGATTCCAAATACACATCAGTAGGCAATCGTCAGTGTCTGGGATCGAACCCATGTCCTCCTTTATGCTTCCAGCCCGCCCAGTCATCTTACTCCGACGACCCGAATTCCTGACCCGGCTCTCCTACATCTCGCTTTCTCCGTGCACCTAACCACACTCTACTCTTCCTCGCCCGCTGTGGCACAGGGTCCACTTTTCGACATTGTCTCCTCCATTTGGCTCGGTCCAGGGCATCTTCGGGAGATGCGTTGACCGTCTTCACGTCTTCTCCTCTATTCGATCCATCATCCATCGCTTCTTCGGACGTCCGCGTGGACGGCGGCCCTCTGGCTCAACACGCACGACAGTATTCGTAGGTTTTTTCGGTAAAGTCACCAGGTAGGTAAAAACATTAAAATTAATAAAAGTAAAATAAAATAAAAAATCACGACGTTTCGGAGGCAACACAAGAATCACGAAACGTTGTGATTTTTATTTTACTTTTATTAATTTTAATGTTTTACCTACGTGACTTTACCGAAAAAACCTAAGAATATGAATCTTTGCAGTCACGAAAGCTTCAAATCTAGAACGCATGGCAGTCTTGGCCACCGATGACTCTTCACTTTGCATCACGTGGCCGTACCACCGAAGCCTTGCCTAGATGTGTAAAAAAAAATTGAAATTAATAAAAGTAAAATAAAATAAAAATCACGACGTTTCGGAGGCAACACAAGCTTCCGTCTTCAGGTGGAACCGTCACAGCACGACAGCTGCATCAAGTAACTTACTTGACCCACTAACCCAACCACCCACTCACTCACTCATTCACTCACTCACTCACTCGCCTACTCACTCATTCACTCACTCACTCACCCACTCACTCATTCACCCACTCACTCACCCACTCGCCCACTCATTCACCCACTCACTCACTCGTCCACTCACTCATTCACCCACTCGCCCACTCACTCACTCACTCACCCACTCGCCCACTCACTCACCCACTCACTCACTCGCCCACTCACCCACTCACTCGCCCACTCACTCACCCACTCACTCGCCCACTCACTCATTCGCCCACTCGCCCACTCACTCACTCACCCACTCACTCACTCACTCACCCACTCACTCACTCACTCACCCACCGTCACAACCACGACAACTGTATCAAGTAAATGAGAGATTACAAGAGCTACCACTCCGTATATATAATGGTTGAAGAGGGGAAGGGCCAAGTACGGCACACTTTTTATTAATATAACGGTTCCAGCTTAAATAGACGCTCCAAGCTTGGTGGTGTTTCATTCTTCACCTGAGGATGGCTGCTTGCGTTGCAGCCGAAACGTCGTGAGAATTGTTTTATTATGTTTTATTTTTATTATTTTATTATTTCCCTTCTACGTGATGACTTTACCGAAAGAACCAAGAAGATTAATCTAAGTTGTCTTGTGGTTGTTGTTGTTTGACTTGCATCCCACTGGGATTTTCACACACAACGTTGGTGTACACGGTGATTTTTCTGCAATATTTTTCTGTCTTTTCTTGGATTTTCTGTTTGCACTTAGTCACTTTAAGATGTTTTCTTGTTCATATTTTTGTTTTTTGTTTGTTGCGGTTGCACCCGATTCAAGAGCCGAATAGCTCACAGGGCTACACCTAATACATGAACTTTAACTACTTCGCCCGGTACATAGGCGATGTAGTTAACATGGGGGGCTTGTTCCCGACCCTGACGTCTGTGTATTTGGAGTTTGCATGTTCGCACCGTGGTCACGTAGCTCTTTTCCAGCTCCATCGGTTCCCCCCCCCCCTCCACATTTAGAATCGACACACACCTCGCGTTTAGAGCATGTGGCTGTTGCTATACATTTCCACGCGATGACGACGATGATGATGACGATGATATCAGCCACCAACCTGGTTGAGATGCTATCATCTGCAATTGGCAGGCAGCTTCTAAAGCAGAGCTACGTGGCTCAGCGGGTGTCTTACACTTGGTAAAATAAACAATTTTTTAAAATATGATAATTGTTTTTTTATCCTTCTATCTGGCAACAAAACTGACACATAACTCTGATAATGTATGCACTGTCCTTGAAGTTGATTGGTCCACACCCGAGACAGCTTTCCTTAGAGCCTAGTCTCCATTGGTGTTGGACCAGATGACGCCAAAAGGCGCACAACTCAAAGACAATGCACCATCAGAGTATGAGAGCTCGGGGTGAAGCATTTACACCATTGGAACCTCATTTGCCAGTAAAAAATATGATATGCAAACATGACTCCTCGTAAAAAAAGGTGTAAGTTTTGTTGCCAGATAAAAGGGTAAAAAACCAATATCATATTTTTTACTGGCAAATGAGGTACCAATGGTGTAAATGCAAAAAATAGTTTAGGATGGAAAACCTTGGTGGAGTCGCTGCCCACGTAACCCGATACAGTTCGGAAAAGCGGCCCGATATTGATAGATTGTAGTGATAGGTTTTTACCCTTTCAACTGGTACAAAAACTGACACCTTTATGCAAGGCATCATTGTGTAAATGCTTACCCCGAGCTCTCAATGCTTTGATAGTGCGCTGTCTTTGAGTTGTATGCCTTTTGGCGTCATCGGGTCCAACACCAATGGAGACTAGGCTCTAAGAAAAGCTGTCTCGGGTGTGGACCAATCAACTTCAAGGACAGTGCATGTCATTATCATCATCAGAGTTGTTTCGTTTTGTTTACATTTTGACTGCTTGTGTTGTGGCTATTGCAAACTTGATGCCTTGTATAAAGGTGTCAGTTTTTGTACCAGTTGAAAGGGTAAAACCCTATCACTATATTTTACCACTGGTAAAGTAGATGTCCCATTGTGTAAATTGATGGATTGATTAAATCGTTTAAAAACCGTTTAAACCCTACTCTTAGTTTTTTCGGTAAAGTCACGTCGGTAAAAAAAAATGAAATTAAAATTCATAAAAATAAAATATTTTATTTTATTAATTTTATTTATTTTAATTTCATTTTTTTTCCTACGTGACTTTACCGAAAAAACTACGCGCATGAATCCTTGCGTTTTAACCGCGCTGACGCCCAACCACCCCGCCCTTCCTCTGCAGGGTCGCGAGAGAAGGCCCAGGGGGTGGCCTGCGTCCCGGGGATGGGCAACCCAACCCCCAGCGGCCACTACTTCAACCACGTGTGGCGGTCGGTGGTCTGCGACAATAGGCCCTTCGACAGCCCCGCCGAGGTGCGAAAGTGCCTCAGGCACAAGGAGGTGATCTTCCTCGGGGACTCGACCATCCGCCAGTGGTGGGAATACCTCAACTCATTCGTCAAGGGTAGGGCAACGCGGCACCCGTGTGGCCCTCGGTGCGTGACGAGGCGCAGGAACCCGTGCCTACACTATACACTACACTATACACTACTACACTATACACTACTACACTATACACTACACTACTATACACTATACACTACACTATACACTACACTACCTTACACTATACACTATACACTACACTATACACTACACTATACACTACACTATACACTACACTACCTTACACTATACACTACACTACCTTACACTACACTACCTTATACTACACTATACACTACACTACTATACACTACACTATACACTACACTACCTTACACTACGCTATACACTATACACTACACTATACACTACACTATACACTACACTACTATACACTACACTATACACTATACTACCTTACACTATACACTACACTATACACTACACTACCTTACACTATATACTACACTACACTATACACTACACTACCTTACACTATACACTACACTATACACTATACTACCTTACACTATATACTACACTACCTTACACTATACACTACACTACTATACACTATACACTACACTATACACTACACTATACACTACACTATACATTATTACACTACACACTATACACTACACTATACACTACACTACTATACACTACACTATACACTATTATACACTACACTATACACTACACTACTATACACTACACTACACTATACACTACACTACTATACACTACACTACTATACACTACACTACTATACACTACACTACTATACACTACACTATACACTACACTACTATACACTATACACTACACTATACACTACACTATACACTACACTACCTTACACTATACACTATACACTACACTATACACTACACTATACACTACACTATACACTACACTACCTTACACTATACACTACACTACCTTACACTACACTACCTTATACTACACTATACACTACACTACTATACACTACACTATACACTACACTACCTTACACTACGCTATACACTATACACTACACTATACACTACACTACTATACACTACACTATACACTATACTACCTTACACTATACACTACACTATACACTACACTACCTTACACTATATACTACACTACACTATACACTACACTACCTTACACTATACACTACACTATACACTACACTACCTTACACTATACACTACACTATACACTATACTACCTTACACTATATACTACACTACCTTACACTATACACTACACTACTATACACTATACACTACACTATACACTACACTATACACTACACTATACATTACTACACTACACACTATACACTACACTATACACTACACTACTATACACTACACTATACACTATTATACACTACACTATACACTACACTACTATACACTACACTACACTATACACTACACTACTATACACTACACTACTATACACTACACTACTATACACTACACTACTATACACTACACTACTATACACTACACTATACACTACACTACTATACACTACATATCAACGGAGGAATTTAGTAGCATATTTATGGAAAATGCAGATATCGGGATTAGTTTTTTCAACGTCCAAATCTCGCAGGCGACCACGAATCTGCACGTTCCACGTTGCGCCCCTTCGACAGATTTCAAAAAGATCGCCGCGTGGAGTCGCGGGTGACTACTCTCCCGCCGGGCGAGTGCGGTGAGCGGAGCGACTGCCCAAGCGTTCACCGCTCACCCCTCTCCACCCCCCTCTACCCTCCTCAGAGCTGAAGGTCGTGGACCTGGGAAAGCACGGCAGGCAGGACCCCAGGATGGCGTTGGACGGCGACAACAGCATCCTGATGACCTGGCACTGCCACACGTACCCGCTCATCACATCCTTCTTCACGCACAAAGAGGAGATGATCTACACCGCCAAGCGCATTGACGCCACGGTGGGCGGCGCCAACACGGTGATCGGCATCTGCCTGGGGGCACACTTCACCGCCTTTCCGCTGGACGTCTTCCGCCGGAGGATCGGGAACATCGCCGCGGCCGTGGACCGACTGCTGGCTAGGAGCCCTCGGACCAAGGTGGTGGTCAAGCTGGCCAACACGTGCACGCCGGGCAGCCTGGAGATCTTCAACAACTGGAACACGTTCCGCATGAACCGGATCACCGTGGAGGCGTTCGCGGGTCTCCGAGTCGCGTTCGTCGACGCGTGGGACATGACGCTGTCGGCGGGGTCCAAGAACATTCACCCCGATAGGAGCATCGTGAAGAACCAAGTGGATCTCTTCCTGTCGTACGTTTGTTGAGGGAGGCCGACGCATTCCTCATTCCTGCTTGCTCCCCTTTGTCGCAGACGCGACTTCACCGTCACGGCGAGGCGAGCCAAGCCGCGGGCAGCTGCGGTAGGAGCAAGCGGAGAAGGGGGTCACCACCTTGGTTCTTTCGGTAAAGCCGTCACGTAGAAGGGAAGTAATAAAATAATAAAAATAAAACATGATAGAATACAATTCTCACGACGTTTCGGCCACAACGCAAGCAGCCGTCCTCAGGTGAAGACCAGGTCTGTCGGGGAGACAGCGTCTGAATGAAACACCACCAGGCTTGGAGCGACTATTTAAGCTGCTGGGTTGGAAGGGGGGAAGGGCGCCTCTTGATTTGCAAATTATTTTGTCAAGGCGCCCTTCCCCCCTTCCAACCCAGCAGCTTAAATAGACGCTGCCAAGCCTGGTGGTGTTTCATTCAGACGCTGTCTCCCCGACAGACCTGGTCTTCACCTGAGGACGGCTGCTTGCGTTGTAGCCGAAACGTCGTGAGAATTATTTTATCGTGTTTTATTTTTATTATTCTATTACTTCCCTTCTACGTGATGACTTTACGGAAAGAACCAAGAAGATTACAACAAGATCGAGAAGCGAGAAGGGGGGGGGGGCGAGAGAGCACGAGGAGTTTGTTCGGAGACAGACACGGAATCCGAGGGTCCCTCACCGAGAAATTCGATCACGCGAGTTCCTGACGGTGTCAACGCAATAAAAAGTGTCTCGATAATTGTTTTGTTACCCTTCTATCTGGCAACAAAACTGACACCCTTTCTACAAGGAGTCATGTTTGCATAGACCACAATACCTGCGGTCATAATGCAAACAAAACACACAACTCTGGTAATGTGCACTGTCCTTGAAGTTGATTGATCCACACCCGAGACAGCTTTCCTTAGAGCCTAGTCTCCATTGGTGTTGGACTATATGACGCCAAAAGGCGCACAACTCAAAGACAATGGCTGCAGGTATTGTGGTCAATGCAAACATGACTCCTTGTAAAAAAAGGTGCCAGTTGTGTTGCCAGATAGAAGGGTAAAAAAACAATTATCATAATTTTTGACTGGCAAATGAGGTTCCAATGGTGTAAAACGTGTCTCTTCTGACGTTCTCGTCGTCTGTGTCGTGACACTGGAAAGGGACGCGTTTGCACATCGTTAATATTGAATGAAGGAACAGGTGACACCCAGGACCTCTGGAAAGCCTCGAAGTCATTTCCATTTGTCAGCCACCTGTAGTAGCCGAGCGACAGATGGCCCAGCCCATCGCTCGCATCGGCGCACGTTGGCACGGTGTCGAATGGCTCGCGGGCGATGGCGTCCACAAGACGGCGTCTCTGCTTGTCGTTAATATCGCGTGAAGATCTTCTTGGTTCTTTCGGTAAAGTCATCACGTAGAAGGGAAGTAATAAAATAATAAAAATAAAACATAAAATTATTTTATTATATTATTATATCATATTACTTTATTATGTTTTATTTTTATTATTTTATTACTTCCCTTCTACGTGACGACTTTACCGAAAGAACCAAGAAGATGAATTCCTGCAGTCACGAAAGCTTGAAATCGCGTGAAGATGTTGAAAAATGGCGTCGTTCAACAGAACGCGTAAACAGAACGTGGCCAATTCGTCACCAGTACGGCACACCGCTGTGTCGGAGAGTAAACCCACAACATTTACAATTATAGTGTAGTGTGTAGTGTAGAGTAGTGTGTAGTGTAGTGTATAGTAGTGTAGTCTAGTAATAGTGTATAGTGTAGTGTATAGTAGTGTGTAGTGCAGTAGTGTATAGTAGTGTAGTCTAGTAATAGTGTATAGTGTAGTGTAGAGTAGTGTGTAGTGCAGTAGTGTAGTCTAGTAATAGTGTATAGTGTAGTGTAGTAGTGTAGTGTATAGTGTAGTGTATAGTAGTGTAGTCTAGTAATAGTGTATTGTGTAGTGTAGAGTAGTGTGTAGTGCAGTAGTGTAGTCTAGTAATAGTGTATAGTGTAGTGTAGTAGTGTAGTGTATAGTGTAGTGTATAGTAGTGTAGTCTAGTAATAGTGTATAGTGTAGTGTATAGTAGTGTAGTCTAGTAATAGTGTATAGTGTAGTGTATAGTGTTGTGTGTAGTAGTGTATAGTGTAGTGTATAGTAGTGTAGTGTGTAGTGCAGTTGTGTATAGTAGTGTAGTCTAGTAATAGTATATAGTGTAGTGTATAGTAGTGTAGTGTATAGTGTAGTGTATAGTAGTGTAGTGTATAGTGTAGTCACTACACTATACACTACACCACATACTAGACTATACACTACACTATACTCCCATTGCTGTCAACCCCTTATCAGCGCCCTACCTTATTACAGACAAATTCAGACCTCATTGGTCACCCCCTGCCCTTAGACATCTCAGCGCTCATCCTACAAAATCCCATCACAAGGGAGAAGCACAGACAGAGAGACAGAGAGACAGACAGACAGACACAGAGACAGACAGAGAGACAGACAGACAGAGAGACAGACAGACAGAGAGACAGAGAGACAAACAGACAGAGAGACAATGTTTAATGTTTTATTTGCCCGGATTGAAACGGCTGTACGCCGTGTGGACCTGAAAACTCAATTTCTCTGTTCAAGAACACGGGGTGAGAAGTATGGGTTGACAGGGATGACCCACCGACACACACACTCACCCACACACACACCCACCCACTCACACACTAACCCACCCACACACTAACCCACTCACCCACCCACCCACTCACCCACCCACACACTCACCCACCCACACACCCACTCACCCACCCACACACTCACCCACACCCACTCACTCACCCACTCACTGACCCACCCACCCACTCACTCACCCACTCACTCACCCATCCACACACCCACTCACCCACCAACCCACCCACACACCCACCCACACACTCACCCACCCACACACTCACCCATCCACACACCCACTCACCCATCCACTCACCCATCCACACACCCACTCACTCATCCACCCACACACTCACCCACACACCCACCCACCCACTCACCCACCCACCCACTCACCCACCCACACACTCACCCACCCACACACTCACCCACCCACACACCCACTCACCCACCCACACACTCACCCACACCCACTCACTCACCCACTCACTGACCCACCCACCCACTCACTCACCCACTCACTCACCCATCCACACACCCACTCACCCACCCACCCACCCACACACCCACCCACACACTCACCCACCCACACACTCACCCATCCACACACCCACTCACCCATCCACTCACCCATCCACACACCCACTCACTCATCCACCCACACACTCACCCACACACCCACCCACACACCCACTCACCCACCCACCCACACACCCACCCACACACTCACCCACCCACACACTCACCCACCCACACACTCACCCATCCACACACCCACTCACCCATCCACTCACCCATCCACACACCCACTCACTCATCCACCCACACACTCACCCACACACCCACCCACCCACTCACCCACCCACCCACCCACTCACCCACCCACACACTCACCCACCCACACACTCACCCACCCACCCACCCACTCACCCACCCACACACTCACCCACACCCACTCACTCACCCACTCACTGACCCACCCACCCACTCACTCACCCACTCACTCACCCATCCACACACCCACTCACCCACCAACCCACCCACACACCCACCCACACACTCACCCACCCACACACTCACCCATCCACACACCCACTCACCCATCCACTCACCCATCCACACACCCACTCACTCATCCACCCACACACTCACCCACACACCCACCCACACACCCACTCACCCACCAACCCACCCACACACCCACCCACACACTCACCCACCAACCCACCCACACACCCACCCACCCACCCACTCACCCACCCACCCACACACTCACCCACCCACCCAAACGTGAGTGCTCGCGTTAGAGAGGCAGCGGCGCTAGAGAGAGATTGGTTCTGTTATTAAAGTCCACGTGGTGGTGACGCCAGCAGCTGTGCAAGTTGCGGTGACGTCATTTTAGAGTGTAATTGCGGGAGAAGGTGACGTCACTCTCGGGATTGCGTACAAAGTCGGTGACGTCACGCCACCGTCAACAAGAGGATGACGTAGGCTTCCTCGCCCATGAGTTTACACGCGTGGGTGACGTCATTCGTCGGGGACGCGAAGAGCGCGTGACGTTATTTCCAGTGAAAAAGCGGGATGACGTCACTTCCGAGTGTAACGCGCGGGATGATGACGTCACGCTCAGAGCCAGAACTCTCGACTCGGCCACAATGAAGACTCCGAGACTCGGGTGAGTGGGACACACAGAGACACACAGACACACAGACAGAGACACACAGAGAGACACAGAGACACACAGAGAGACACAGAGACACACAGAGACACAGAGACACACAGAGACACACAGAGACACAGGGTGAGTGGGACACAGAGACACACAGAGACACACAGACAGAGACACACAGAGACACACAGAGACACACAGAGACACAGAGACACACACAGAGACACAGAGACACACAGAGACACAGGGTGAGTGGGACACAGAGACACACAGAAACACACAGAGACAGACAGAGACACAGACACAGAGAGAGAGACACAGGGTGAGTGGGACACAGAGACAGACAGAGACACACAGAGACAGAGAGAGAGACACAGAGAGACACAGACACAGAGAGACAGAGAGACACAGAGACAGACAGAGACACACAGAGACAGACACAGAGAGAGAGACTCGGGGTGAGTGGGAGACAGAGAGAGACAGAGACACAGAGAGAGAGACACAGGGTGAGTGGGAGAGAGAAACAGACAGAGACACAGAGACACAGACACAGAGAGACACAGAGACACAGAGAGACACAGAGACACAGAGAGACACACGGAGACACAGAGAGAGAGACACAGGGTGAGTTGGAGACAGAGACAGACAGAGACACATAGACACAGACACACAGAGAGAGAGAGACACACAGACACAGAGAGACACAGGGAGACAGAGTCACACAGACACAGAGAGACAGAGACACAGAGAGAGAGAGACACAGGGTGAGTGGGACACAGAGACAGACAGAGACACAGAGACACACAGACACAGAGAGACAGACACACAGAGACACAGACACAGAGAGACACACAAACACAGAGACAGAGAGACACAGAGACACAGAGAGACGGAGACACAGAGAGAGACACAGAGAGACGAAGACACAGAGAGAGACACAGAGAGACGAAGACACAGAGAGAGACAGAAATACAGAGACACAGAGAGACATACAGAGACACAGAGAGACACAGAGACACAGACACAGAGAGACAGATATAGAGAGACACAGAGAGACGGAGACACAGAGAGACACAGAGAGACACAGACAGAGACACAGACAGAGTCACACAGACACAGAGAGACACAGAGACACAAACAGAGAGTCTTAAACAAATCACTAATGATATATAATTATAAATAAAACAATTACACACCTTGTCCACTACTAACCACTCCTGTGTGTGTTTAGTGTGTGCATGTTGTATGCATGTTGTACGTGTGTTGTGTGGTACAGATAGAATGGGAGGCTGATCGATGCCCAGGTGCAGTTAACGAATGGCTCCCTATTGGTCAACCATGTTACGTATGATAATTGGTTTTTTACCCTTCTATCTGGCTACAAAACTGACACCTTTTTACAAGGAGTCATGTTTGCATAGACCGCAATACCTGCAGCCATAATACAAACTAAAGAACATAACTCTGATAATGTATGCACTGTCCTTGAAGTTGATTGGTCCACACCCGAGACAGCTTTCCTTAGAGCCTAGTCTCACATGGGTTGGACCAGATGACGCCAAAAGGCGTACGCTCTAAGGAAAGCTGTCTCGGGTGTGGACCAATCAACTTCAAGGACAGTGCACATTATCAGAGTTATGTCTTTTGTTTGTATTATGACTGCAGGTATTGCGGTCTATGCAAACATGACTCCTTGTAGAAAGGTGTCAGTTTTGTTGCCAGATAGAAGGGTAAAAAAACAATTATATTTTTACTGGCAAATGAGGTTCCCATAGTGTAAAAACATGTTATGTATGCCGATGATTTGGTGATTGCTGCTCACTCAGAGGAGGAGTTGGAGGCGCTGCTGCTGAACCTGGAGCTTGCCACTAAGAGGTGGGGCCCCACCAAAACTAAGCACCTGCCTGGGTATTTTGTACCATCGGATACTCCACTCCCACAACTCCCAATTGGTGATAGGGCAGTTGTGGAGAGAGTGGAGAGTTTCCCATACCTGGGCAGTGTGCTCATGACCGGCTCCAGTTTATCAGCAGAGGTCTCACACCGAATCAGTCGAGCGGCAATATCTTTTCATCGGTTGCGTAACGCTGTGTGGAAGCTACCTGGTCTGTCGCTCCGCACGAAGCTTCAGGTCTTCTCGGCCACGGTCATTCCCTCCCTTCTCTACGCTTGCGAAACGTGGACCCCCCTAATGGAACATCTTCGCCGGTTAGAAACATTTAGGCTGGCCTGCCTAAGATCAGTCCTGGGTTTAACCAGTCTGGATTGTGTGCGGAGCTCACAAATCCTTGAAAGATCTGGACAAAGTCCCATTGGTGAGCTCCTCCGGCAGGCAAGGCTGCGTTGGCTGGGCCATGTAGCCTGCATGCCCAGTCACCGCATGCCTAAATAGCTTTTGTTCGGCCGGATCGAGGGGGCTAAATGGGTGTGGCACGGGCTGGAGAAGAGATGGAGTGGTACAGGAGGACGTGGAGCTGAGTGGACTTGCCGATGACTGGTACCAGCGGTGTCAAGATCGGCCTCTGTGGAGGAGGCTCGTGAAGGATGCTACTGGGCAGTTGGAGGCAGTCACCCTCCAACAACAACAGAGGGGGGAGGAGCGACGCTCACAACAACGAGCGGAGCGCTGGGTGACTAAAGCACAGCAAGTTGGCACAGTAGGGGGCACAGGTGGTGCATCAGCCAGTCATCTCGGTCATCTCGGTCAGTCGACCCGTGGCACCTGCTGGGTCTGCCCCGTGACCTCCTGCCAGCGGGCGTTCGACACTTCACGTGGCCTCAACGTGCACATGGCCTGGCACAAGCGTCGTGGTGACGTCACCGCCACTTAGTGGCGAATGACGGTTGTTGTGTGTGGGTGAAGTGTATCATGTATTCTTTGCACAATGCTGTACGCATGTTGTGTGTGTATTGTGTAGTTGCAATGTGCTGTGCATGTTGTGTGTATGTTGTGTAGTGTGTAATGTACTCTATGGATGTTGTGTGAGTATGTTGTGTGTGTTTTAGTATGGGTCTCTCTGGGTTTCTTTTGATCTCTATGAGTATGGGTCTCTGTGGGTCTCTGAGTATGGGTCTGTATGGGTCTCTGTGTGTCTGTGTGGGTCTCTGTGGGTCTCTGTGTGTCTCTGTGGGTCTCTATGAGTATGGGTCTCTGTGGGTCTCTGAGTATGGGTCTGTATGGGTCTCTGTGTGTCTGTGTGGGTCTCTGTGGGTCTCTGTGTGTCTGTGTGGGTCTCTGTGGGTCTCTATGAGTATGGGTCTCTGTGTGTCTGTGTGGGTCTCTGTGGGTCTCTATGAGTATGGGTCTCTGTGGGTCTCTATGAGTATGGGTCTATGTGGGTCTCTGTGGATCTCTAGAAGTCTGTAGAAACACCCGTTTAGAGTATTTGGCTTCTGCTATGAATCTCCACGCGATGATGATGGTGGTGGCGATGTCAGACACTTGAGCTGCTGTCACTGCAGGTGATAGTCCAGGCCGCGTCTGACAAAAGTGCGACACATTAGCGAGTCCTGACCTGGTAAGATAAAACAAATAGTTTAGTTTTATAGTAGAGACGAGAAAGGGCAGCTGTGAAGATAATTTTCAGCGTCTCTGTCTCTCTGTGTCTCTCTGTGTGTCTCTGTGTGTCTCTGTGTGTGTCTCTGTGTGTCTCTGTGTCTTTGTGTCTCTGTGTGTCTCTGTGTCTATCTGTTTCTCTCGGTCTCTCTGTGTCTCTGTGTCTCTGTCTCTGTATCTCTGTGTCTGTCTTTGTGTGTCTCTGTCTCTCTGTGTCTTTGTCTTTCTCTGTCTCTGTGTCTCTCTGTCTCTCTGTGTCTCTCTGTGTCTCTCTGTCTCTCTGTGTCTCTCTGTCTCTGTGTGTCTCTGTCTCTGTGTCTCTCTGTCTCTCTGTCTCTGTCTCGCTGTGTCTCTCTGTGTCTCTGTGTCTCCGTCTCTCTGTGTCTCTGTGTCTCTGCCCAGCCCCCAGTGACTTCCTCAACATCAGAATGTTTGTTATTCATATTGGGGACAAACCCGGTGAGCTGTAAAGCTCTTTGTTAACAGATGTCCAGCAGTTGTCGTGCTGACGCCCAATCGTTGTTCCTCCGTTGGTAGGGCAACTCCATCGCCGGGCCGTTACTCCTCATCCATCGCCGGGCAGCTCCTCCGTTGCTAGGCAACTCCTCTGTTGCTAGGCAACTCCTCCATTGCTGGGCAACTCATCCATCGCGAATCAACTCCTCTGTTGCTAGGCAACTCCTCCATTGCTGGGCAACTCATCCATCGCGAATCAACTCCTCTGTTGCTAAGCAACTCCTCCGTTGCTAGGCAACTCCTCCTCCACCACCGTTGTCACCCCTCAGTTCTACCGGATGTCCACCACCACCCACCCCATCCAACCAATGGAGCGTCCGGCCACCGACACCACCACCACCACCGCCACTGCCACCACCGACACCACCACCACCACCGACACCACCACCGACACCACCGCCACCACCACCGCCACCACCACCGCCACCACCACCGACACCACCACCGACACCACCACCACCGCCGACACCACCACCACCGCCGCCACCACCACCGCCGACCGTCCGGGCGCCAAGCGCCACCTGTGCTCCATGTGCCCGTACGGCACGGACCGCGCCGGGAGCCTCCGCAACCACGAGCGCACGCACACCGGGGAGCGCCCCTACGCCTGCCCGGCCTGCGGCAAGTCGTTCGCCGAGTCGGGCTCCCTCGGCAAGCACCGCCGCACCCACTCGGGCGAGCGTCCCCACGCCTGCCCCCGCTGCGGCAAGGCCTACGCCGAGAGCGGCCACCTGCGGCGCCACCTGCGCTCGCACACCGGCGAGAAGCCGTTCGCCTGCCCCGAATGCGGCAAGTCGTTCGCCGAGAGCGGCACCCTCCGCAACCACCGCCGGACCCACGGCGGCGAGCGGCCCCACGGCTGCGGCGAGTGCGGCCGCCGCTTCGCGACGTCGGGCGACCTGTCCCGCCACGGCCGGACGCACAGCGGCGAGCGGCCTCACCGCTGCGGCGACTGCGGCCGCCGCTTCGCCACCTCGGGCCACCTGCGGGGCCACCGCCGCACCCACACGGGCGAGCGGCCCTACTCGTGCGCGGCGTGCGGGGCGGCGTTCGCCGAGTCGGGCGCCCTCCGCCGCCACCGCCGCACTCACACCGGGGAGAGGCCCTACGAGTGCCAGGACTGCGGACGCGGGTTTGCCGAGGCCGGCTGCCTCCGCCGGCACCGCCGCATCCACACCGGGGAACGGCCGTACGAGTGCGAGGACTGCGGACGTCGGTTCGGCCAGTCGGGGGACCTCCGGGGACACCGCCGCACCCACGCCGGGGAGAAGCCCTTCGGCTGCGCTGAGTGCGGCCGGGCGTTCGCCCACGCGGCCTCGCTCAAGAAGCACCGGGAGGTTCACCGGCGGGAGGCCGCGGTTAACGGCCGTGGGGAGGGGGGGGAGGGGATGGAAGAGGAGGGGGAGGGGGTGGAGGAGGGGGGGGAGGCGGAACGCCGGGGGAGATCCGCCGCGGCAGAAACGGTCGCGTCGTCCGTAGCGGCATCATCTGCGGCATCATCTGCGGCATCATCTGCGGCATCAGCTGTGGCGGCTGCGTCGTCGGTAGCGGAATCGACCGCGGCGGCTTCGACGTCGTTAGCAGCATCATCGTCGGTAGCGGCGGTCAAAACCTGCGGCTCTGGACTGTGGCCGGGTGAAGAGGCAGGAATGGCGGCGTCCGAGGGCTGTGGGAGCGAGAGTCCCCACTTGGGATTCTCCGTCGTCAAGCTGGAGACGGGAGAGGAGAGACCCAGCAACCACGACGGTCGCCACGGAGACGGCGGTGACGACGGTCGTCATGGAAACGGCGGTGACGACGGTCGCCACGGAGACGAGCATTGGCCCCTGGGGCCCTTGTTGATCGTGAAGCAGGAGAGAAGAGACAGCGACGACGATGATGATGATGTTGATGATGTTGATGATGTTGATGATGGTCATCATGAGGTCTACACAAGTGTTGTTAAGGTGAAGGTGGAAGATGAGGAGGATGAGGAGGTGGAAGATGAGGAGGAGGATATGATCAGGAGAAAGATGCCAGGCGCCATGAAGGTGGAGGGAAAATGATAAAAACAAAATGAGTTTGTCGCTTTTAAATCATGGAAACATTCCCAGAGGCAAGTTTTCCAGAATTGCCAACTCAAGATCGAGTTTCGGGGACAACGCTCTCGGGGGTTATTTGAGGGTATTTGGCCTACTCTTCCACGCTGACGAGATGTACATCAAACAAGAGTGGGGCTGTAACCCACACTTCATTGTCATCATCGTCATCGGCTTCTTAACTGTGCAACAGAGGTCGCAAACGGGTTTTGATTCCTTACCCGGCCGCACCAGGGTCGCAAACGGGTACCCGTACCCTACCCGATACCCGGCTGGGTACGGGTAGCCGGGTATCGGGTAGGGGGTACGGGTATTGGGTACCCGATTGCGACCTCTGCTGTGCAACGCCCATTTGTACGGCTGAGAACACGTCAGGGTCGCGGCTGGACCCGATTTGAAATTGCTATATATCTGCAACACGAACCGCCCATGAATGAAACTCTTACCACTTGAAAGGGCGGGGCATAGAGAGGGCGGGGCATAGAGAGAGGGCGGGGCATAGAGTTTAATATTCTTAGGTTTTCCCGGTAAAGTCACGTAGGTAAAAAATTTAAATTAATAAAAGTAAAATAAAAATAAAATAAAAATCACGACGTTTCGGAGGCAACACAAGCTTCCGTCTTCAGGTGGAACCGTCACAGCCACGACAGCTGTATCAAGTGTATCACTTGATACAGCTGTCGTGGCTGTGATGGTGGGTGAGTGGGTGGGCGAGTGGGTGAGTGGGTGAATGAGTGAGTGGGTGAATGAGTGAGTGGGTGAGTGAGTGGGTGGTTGGGTTAGTGGGTCAAGTAAGTCACGTGATACAGCTGTCGTGGCTATGACGGTTCCACCTGATTACGGAGACTTGTGTTGCCTCCGAAACGTCGTGATTTTTATTTTATTTTACTTTTATTAATTTTAATGTTTTACCTATGTGACTTTACCGAAAAAACCTAAGAATATGAATCCTTGCAGTCACGAAAGCTTCAAATCTAGAATCGTAGAGTTTTAAATGAGTACCGCGAGATGCCTCTCCCAGCGCACAAACAGCCCCCAGCCTCAGTCATTCGCAGGACACTCCGCCTCAATGTTGGACAGGTCGCACGGGACCCCAAGACTTGGCGCTACACTCTTGGCCCCCAAGATCACCCCCAGACGTCACCACACCCTGCGACTTTTTCTTGTGGGGATACGTCAAAGACCGTGATGTTTTTGTGCCACCGTTAGCGACTCATCTGGATGACTTCATGAACAGAATCACGGCAGCGGTGACTTCAGTGGAAGGAGACGCTTTGAGAGGCGTTTGGGACGAATTCAACTATCGTCTTGATGTTGTCCGTACCGCAGGTGGAGGGGGCACATAGAGCATTTATAAAATGGTTAGTAAAACTTGATGACTCATTAAACTGTCTTTTGTTTGTATTATGACTGCAGGTATTGCGGTCTATGCAAACATGACTCCTTGTAAAAAGGTGTCAGTTTTGTTGCCAGATAGAAGGGTAAAAAAACAATTATCATATTTTTACTGGCAAATGAGGTTCCCATAGTGACTCATTAAACCGTTTGTAACTTTTTGTGTAATTGTAACGTGTTGCCATCGTGAAATATACTGCTTTGAAATTGGGTCTATCATTTTGATACACCTGTATTTCGATTGACGGATCCGCCTCCCGTAAGGGTCCTATTGACGAGACATTTTGGATTGACCCGCCGTGTAACGATATCGCGAGCAGCCGTGCTGCTAACTTCCCCGTCAACCCCTTAAGAAGCCATCCGTCTCTTTAGCCTGAGCTACTCATTTCTTGCACGTTTCTTTCACGTGCACGTCGAGCTAAAATGCCCCCATGGCGCACCGAAGAAGTGTGAGAACGCCGGTGATGTGTAGCGCTCGCGACCGACTGTTCAGGTGCTCTGCCGTCACGCGCGCGATCGATCCATTGAACACGTCGTGTTCCCGTGGGAGAAAAGGCCCCGTTATTTGTCCGTCGTTACGTTAAACAGCGGTTCGCTCGGTTCACGATAATAATTGGTTCCACGAAAACCATCGTCCATTGAAATGATCGTTTATGGAATATAGGAAATGCAAGTTAACGGGCTTAATTTGTTCCAAGACGATCAAAAGTTTACCTTTTTCACCCGAGATAAAATATAGTTTATAACATTTATACAGAGCAATGGCTAAACCAATACACTTTTCGAAATCACCAAAATAAAGCCATGAAACCAGTGAAACAGCGATCATAGGAACTGTGACGGAATTTTCACAATAAACGACATAAACAACATGTACTACCAAAACCCTGCAGCCATAGCTGGCTGCATGAGTCACTCCACAACAGCAGTAGGAGCATCAATCGGAGTATTATAATTTTGCAATGCACCTTTAAGATGGGACTCCAAACAAACAGCGGGCGGTCAGGGGTCGGGATTGAACCCACGACCTCCCGTAGACCGGGCGAGGCAGTTAACATCTCGCCACCGTGGCGCCTTGTGCCTTTTCAGCAAACAGTCGACAATGTGAGTGCGAAACGAGGTCCACATTGGAGAGCCCCCTGGACACCGTACAGATACATTTCGATTTAAAGCTTTCGTGACTGCAGGGATTCATCTTCTTGGTTCTGTCGGAAAGACAGACGCTGTCTTCCCGACAGACCTGTTCTTCACCTGAGGACGGCTGCTTGCGTTGTGGCCGAAACGTCGTGAGAATTGTATTTAATGTTTATTTAATTTTATTATTTCCCTTCTACGTGACTTTACCGATAGAACCAAGAAGACCGTACAGATATAGAACTGGCTTAAGCCCAGCTATTGATACGGTAGACTCACGATTATCCACGCTAATGACGGGGAGGACATCCGCGGATATTGCAAAATCGCGGATAATCCAAACACTTCGATTTTTTGCGGACATCTGTGCCAAAACAACACTAACATTTAGTGTAAATTATGTTTAAGTTAAGAAAATGTAGTCTGTTAATGAACGAAAACGACCGATGCGCGTGCTCAGTCACTTTCCTACTCCCGCGCAGAAGACTGCCCACCGAGTGGATGACAGCAGAGCCACAGCCAATCAACATCAATCAAACCCTGCCACCCACTGTTGTAAAGATGTGCCAATTACTGTGTAATGGGTTCCGGAGACACTTGTAGAGGTAACTTCTTTATTATAATACAACACTCCAACAGTCCTGATACTCTGTTACAGCCTAGATACACAGCCTAGGTACACAGCCTAGGTACACAGCCTAGATACACAGCCTAGGTACACAGCCTAGATACGCAGCCTAGGTACACAGCCTAGCGACACAGCCTAGGTACACAGCCTAGATACACAGCCTAGCGACACAGCCTAGGTACACAGCCTAGGTACACAGCCTAGGTACGCAGCCTAGGTACACAGCCTAGATACACAGCCTAGGTACACAGCCTAGGTACACAGCCTAGGTACACAGCCTAGGTACACAGCCTAGGTACACAGCCTCGGTACACAGCCTAGGTACACAGCCTAGGTACACTGCCTAGGTACACAGCCTAGGTACACTGCCTAGGTACGCAGCCTAGGTACACTGCCTAGGTACACAGCCTAGGTACACAGCCTAGGTACACTGCCTAGGTACACAGCCTAGGTACGCAGCCTAGGTACACAGCCTAGGTACACAGCCTAGATACACAGCCTAGGTACACAGCCTAGGTACACAGCCTAGATACACAGCCTAGGTACACAGCCTAGATACACTGCTCTGGCTACGCTCTGGGGTCCTCCGGCTACAATCCCCCTAGGGGAGGCTACTTTACCCGACCGAGCCAAGGTGCGGGTGGACTCTGGCTTCCTCGGAACTCGCCCTTACAAGGACGTAGAGCCGGGAGTCCCAGAGTCCCACCACTGGCCCTCACAGCGTCCCGGCCCTTACAAGGACAAGCGGGACGAGGGGGTCCAGGGTCCTAAGCTGGCTGGCGGGTCTTGGGTCTTGAGCTGCGACTGGCCTCGATCGGCCAGGGAGCTGCCCTTTTATGCCTCGTCCCCAACGAGGGGTGGGTTGTGTGCGCCCCCAGATATCCCACAGAGCACACACAGCCCCCCCCCCCCCCCCCGTTGGTGGCGCCAAGGGGCTTAACTGTCCGGGGTGCCTGGGATCCTAGCGCCTGGCACCAAGGGCTTATCTGTCTAGGATCCCAGAGCCCCCAGCAGCCCCTCCCCTCTTGTGGCACTACAACTGTCCTGTGGAGGTGACTGCTTGGATTTCGGATTAACCGGAGCACACATTTGCTCGCTTTAATCACCGTATGACTTGCAATAAACATTTCCAAGAATAACAATCTTGTATAACTGTTTTTAGATGATTCATTTGGGCTTGAGGAAAAATCCACAAGTTGTTAATTTAAGTCAAAATCTCAGGTGCGCGGTTAATCCGCAAATCGGATAAACCACACGCGGATAATCGAGAGTCTACTGTAGTAGTGTAGTGTATAGTGTAGTATATACTGTAGTAGTATAGTGTATAGTGTAGGGTATACTGTAGTAGTGTAGTATATAGTGTAGTAGTGTATAGTGTAGTGTATACTGTAGTAGTGTATAGTGTAGTGTATACTGTAGTAGTGTAGTGTATAGTGTAGGGTATACTGTAGTAGTGTAGTGTATAGTGTAGTGTATAGTGTAGGGTATACTGTAGTAGTGTAGTGTATACTGTAGTGTATACTGTAGTAGTGTATAGTGTAGTGTATACTGTAGTAGTGTAGTGTATAGTGTAGTGTATACTGTAGTAGTGTAGTGTATAGTGTAGTGTATAGTGTAGTGTATAGTAGTGATCCTAAACACGGAGAGAAAACCCGTAGGATCTGGGGTACTGGTACTGTAGTATGAGTATCGTACCAAGTACGACACACACACTATATGTATATAAATGCATAAGTGACTATCACGTGCATTTTAAACTAATCCGTGTTGAACCCTGCCCTGTACCGGAGTACTAATAATGGTACTACACTACTCCAGTACCACACCCTCACGCTATAAATATAGAAGTGACTTTCTGGTGCAGCGTGTTTGTAGCAAGGCTGCGTTCACACGCTACGTATTCGTCTAAAATCACGAGAATAAAAATCGCTGCCTGGGATGGCCCTCCCCGTGTGTACTAAAAATCTGTGTTAAAGAGCTTTATAGCTCATAGGATTTCTGTATAAATCAATGTTGTGATTGTCGTTGCGCCTTACGGGAAAATAAAAACTACAAACTAAACTGGGCTGATGGGTAAATGGGTGCGTGAGTGAGCGGTTGGGCGAGTGAATGGGTGATTGGGTCAGTGAATGAGTGTCTGGCTGAGTGAGTGGGTGAGTAGTGAGTGAATGGGTGATTGGGTCAGTGAATGAGTGTCTGGCTGAGTGAGTGGGTGAGTAGTGCGTGAATGGGTGATTGGGTCCGTGAATGAGTGAGTTAATGAGTGGATAAGTGAATGAGTGTCTGGCTGAGTGGGTGAGTAGTGAGTGAATGGGTGATTGGGTCAGTGAATGAGTGTCTGGCTGAGTGAATGAGTAGTGAGTGAATGAGTGAGTTAATGAGTGGATAAGTGAATGAGTGTCTGGCTGAGTGAGTGGGTGAGTAGTGAGTGAATGGGTGATTGGGTCAGTGAATGAGTGTCTGGTTGAGTGAGTGGGTGAGTAGTGAGTGAATGGGTGATTGGGTCCGTGAATGAGTGGGTGAATGGGTGGATCAGTGAGTGAGTGAGTGGCAGAGGCTGGATAAGAGAGTGGGTGAGTAGATTGTTGTACAGTATTGCGATGTTTAAAATGAATAAAATAAAAACATATGTAGACATATATTAAGTGTGATTGTAAAAACGCAATTAAACGTGTTTTATTCTAATTAAGAATATGCGTGTTAAGCGTAATGATTGTAATGTTTTAATTAATGTGTATATGATTAGGAAGCGATTATGCATAAAGTTATCCAATAATGATGGTGGCGAACTTGTGATTTCTCGTTGTCCAAGGGTATGCACCATCACTCTGGACGATGCCACTTTTCAGTTTAACAAGTAGCAGGCTTTCGCGACCAATATTATTGATAATAAAGGTTTTTGGGTTAGACCGCGTTATTTATAAATGTGTCGTAACCTTCTACAGCCCGCGGGCCGGACGTTCCCCACCCCTGTTCTAGGGGGTTGTAGAAAGGGGGGCTAAGAGGGGGGTCTTTGTGTGAGGTGCTCGCTAACAGCACTTGCCCCAACATTCTGTGCAGGCTACACGGGGGATCTTTGTCTTTGTGTTAGGTGCTCGCTAACAGCACTTGCCCCATCATTCTGTGCAGGCTACACGGGGCATCTTTGTCTTTGTGTGAGGTGCTCGCTAACAGCACTTGCCCCAACATTCTGTGCAGGCTATACGGGGGATCTTTGTCTTTGTGTTAGGTACTCGCTAACAGCACTTGCCCCTACAGTCTGTCCAGGCTACACGGGGGATCTTTGTCTTTGTGCAGTGGGTTTGTATGGAGACGGAGTCTTCTTAAGAGGCAACATTTAAATTTCGATGTAAAGCTTCTTTCGTGACTGCAGCAGGGATTCATCTTCTTGGTTCTTTCGGTAAAGTCGTCACGTAGAAGGGAAATAATAAAATAATAAAAATAAAACAATAAAATAATTCTCACGACGTTTCATTCAGACTCTGTCTTCTCGACAGACCTGTTCTCCACCTGAGGACGACTGCTTGCGTTGTGGCCGAAACGTCGTGAGAATTATTTAATTGGTTTATTTTTATTATTTTATTATTTCCATTCTACGTGACTTTACCGAAAGAACCAAGAAGATGAACATATAAGATGTCGTGCAAAATTCTAATGAGTGTTGTTGTGGAGAATGTATCTACGAGATGTGCTCTGCATTGAAACCGAATACAAATCTCTACCAAAAATGCATTTCAAATGTGCTCTTAAAATTACCTCCTTGCTATGAAGCAGATCAACAGACACGACGTCTTTCATTTATCGATCTCTCCACGAAACAAAGGAATGTTTTACACAAACTATAACTAGTTACTGCACTGCAATATACTGCATCAGGTTACATCGCATTAACAAGAAGCTATTTAAAAAAAAATACGCACCGTCTGCTTAACAGTGTGTGTACAACATACTATTGTGCCATTCAAAACAAGGCGTCTCGGTCAAAGTTGAGCTAATGCTAAACATTGCCTACGCATCTTCTTCTTGGTTCTTTTGGTAAAGTCACGCTCCAAGCCGAGGACATGTCATTCAGACGCTGTCTTATCGACAGACATGTTCTTCACCTGAGGACGGCTGCTTGAGTTGTGGCCGAAACGTCGTGAGAATTATTTTATTATGTTTTATTTGTATTATTTTATTATTTCCCTTCTACGTGACGACTTTACCGAAAGAACCAAGAAGATGAATCCCTGCTGCAGTCACGAAGAAGCTTTACATCGAAATTACCTCCACACTACACAACTGAGATGCCACATCAACCATCGCCCCCTACTGACAGTCTCTTGTCGACATGCAGGCCGGTGCAGGGCCATGTTGTATATATCTCGTCTTGAAAAAATAACGAAAATATATAAAATATGAATAAAAATTATGCTAATTTATGCAATTGTACATAATGTTATGCTAATTGGGGAGGTGTAATTGTATTAAGTTATGCAAGTGTGATGTAAGTATGCTAATGTATGAAATAATGATAATTAGGCTCTGCCTCGTTGTCTAGGGTTGTAATACCAATCGGGATAATACAATTATTCTCACTTTAACTTTGACTGATTATGTCTTAGTGTGTTTAGGTCTCAAGATTCAGATCTCACAGCAGGATACAGTTCTCATAATTAAGATGATTATGCATGAACTTAGGAAGGCACCACTCAGACATTTCTGTGTTAAGCAACTTTAATCTCTAAACAAAAACATAACACTCTAATATGCGAACTCTTATGCTAGGAATGTCAACAGTACTCCTGGAGATGTTCTCCTTATTGATCCGGACATTTAGCCCTCAATGATCACGTTTGTTAAACTGGGTAACAGAACAATCGGTTAATTCCTCAGAGTAAAGCGAGCATTCACGGCGATGGGAAAAAGTCCTTAAAAATTAATGTGACAATTCATGCAAACAGCAATAAAGAAACATGTCCCGAAAGCAAAAGTAGACCTCAATGAATTCATTGGTAAGATTATGTAATTAACTAAATGTCTTGGAACAATGGTGTGTGGCAATGTGACTGCTTCAGCAAATGGGTATCAATTGGCTAAGGCTTCAAAACATTCGCGGGCAAGATTCTGTGATCAAAAGAAAGATTTCAACACAAGTCTCCCTGTGAATGTGTAAATTCGTAACATAGATGTGTCTAAATGTTTAGTTTCATCAATCAATTCATTGGTACAGTTATGCAATTCAAATTCTTAAGTGTTTTCGGTAAAGTCACGTAGATAAAAAATAATAATAAAAGTAAAATAAAAATAAAAATCACGACGTTTCGGAGGCAACACAAGCTTCCGTCTTCAGGTGGAACCGTGATTTTTTAAATTTTATTTTTATTTAACTTTTATGAATTATAATTTTTTTGTCTACGTGACTTTACCGAAAAAAACCTAAGAATCTGAATCCTTGCAGTCACGAAAGCTTCAAATCTAGAAGTTATGCAATTAACAAAAAGAATAACTAAAATACTTCTAAACGACCGTATCTACCTAACTCAATTGGCGATACACAAGGTTAACTTTCGGAGTACTCTTATTAGTCCCGACATGTGCGCAACGTGTGTGTGTGGATCATCTCCGACACCCATGGGATGATCTCGAGGTCATGCCCAGACCAGGGGTCGGGAACCTTTTTGACTGGGAGAGCCATAAAAGCCAAATATTTCTAAATATATTTCATCGAGAGCCATATAGTATTTTTAACGTATAATAAATAAAATGTCTTACTTTTAATGCGACTTCTGGTGCTGCGTGGTTTTGCTGATGGCCTTGTAGTCTGGTTCGTACGACGTGGTGAGGTTGAGCTTCGTGCAGGCGTGACCCGTGACATTTATCTTCAAAACTAATTTCTGTTTACTTTAACATGACACAGTATTATTAAGCTAATATCACAAGTATTTTTAAATCAGTTCCAAACAGATTTTTTGTAAATTATTTTTTCAACTCAAAATTGTCTGGGAGCCATATGCCGTCACTGGAAGAGCCATATATGGCTCGCGAGCCATAGGTTCCCGACCGCTGCCCTAGAGCCTACCCCTCGCACTACTGAGTTGTATGCTCTGTCCTTGCTTATATGTGAAATTCTCTCCCCTCTGCCCGCCTTTTTACAAAGGACCAGAAATCCTTTGATTTCGCTCTTTGTGTGGATGTTCTGATTTCAATAATTAATCTGGGAGGAGGGGTTCCTTTTGCCCGGTTGCATTCTCCACTCCTCCGCCCCTCTTCCCTCTCTCTCAAAGAAGGGCGCTGTGGCCTTTGAAGTCGTGTTCTCTCGTACCAGTTGGAAGTTAAAAATATTAGTTGACCTCTAATAGCTTGATACTGTAGCACTTTTTGCAGTTCTGACTCTATAAGTGACTCAAGGTATGTTTGGAGCAGTGTTTACAGTACTTCCATCATAGTTTGGAATTCCTTCATGGTGTTCGATTTCTCAAGGCAAGGTGCCCTGCTGATGTGTGATGTATTGCTAGCACGTGCTTCTGGAAGACTAAGGTGGTTGGAGGCTCTCTCTATGGAACGCATTGTCTTGGTCGCGTGTGATTGACCGGTTTCGGCTTCATTCTCGAGTTATATTTCGATATCCTGAGGTTAGAGATGTAACTAAGTGTTTACTTAAAAACTTCCGTGACTGCTGGAATTCATTCTTTGGTTCTTTCGGTAAAGTCACGTAAATAGAATGATAAAATAAAAAATAAGGTGGATGACATTAATATAATATACGATAAATAGTAACCCACTAATGGAGATTGTAGCCTGGTTCTTAATCTGAGTGCATTCTATGTCGACTTATTCTTAAGTCGGCCTTTGAAGCCCGGGAGAGATTTGCCCAGAATCTCATTATCACCCCCCCTCTCCCCTTTTTGCACCTGGGTTTTTTATTACCTTTTATGGCTACTTCCTTGCCTGGTGTGATTTGTAGAACGCAGCTGCTGTTGATTATTTAAAAAAATATTTTGGCGGAATTATTGTTCATATCAATTTTGAAAAAAGGCCTATATATACAACAGCCACCACCTTGTTCCACACAGGGGCAGCTGTTAAATGGGGGTGCTCTTTGAGTGTTTGAGACGAGATACGATACAAAACTCCGAATTGCCGAGGCGATTAAGCAAGCACCATACAAATGCAATTATGATAACATAATGAATGCTTGGGAGCTTATTGGCTCTTGCTCCTGGTTAGAGGTCTACCCAACACACAGGTCCACACAGACTGGCCGCTCTTACCCTGCAGGTTGAACCTAGGAATTGAGTGTTTAACTTCACATTATTGTCCACCAGTTCAGCTACTTGGGGTGCGTCATCTCGTCTGACGCCAAGATCGACAACGAAGTCGACAACAGGCTGGCCAAGGCAAACAGTGCATTTGGCAGACTATACAAACGTGTCTGGAACAACAGAAACCTTAAAAGAGCCACAAAGGTCAACGTCTACAAAGCTGTTGTGCTGACCACTCTCCTGTATGGCGCTGAGTCCTGGGTCACGTACCGTCGTCACCTGAGTCTCCTCGAGCGTTTCCATCAGCGCTGCCTCCGCACAATCTTCAATATTCACTGGAGTGACTTCGTCGCCAACACTGAAGTCCTCAAGTCAGCGAAGGTCATCAGCATCGAGGCCATGGTCCTCAAGACACAGCTTCGTTGGGCAGGGCACATCGCCAGGATGGAGAACAACCGCTTGCCTAAGATCGTGCTGTATGGGGAACTGTCCTCTGGCCATCGCGACATAGGGGCACCACGAAAGCGATACAAAGACTCCCTGAAGAAGTCCCTCACTGCTTGCTGCATCGATCACCGTCAGTGGGCAACACAAGCAGCTGATCGCAACTCCTGGCGGCACACAGTCCACCAGGCCACCTCCTTCTTCGAAGATACCCGCAGGGCCCATATGGAGGACAAAAGGAGAAGGAGGAAGAACCATGATCCCTCAGCACCCATCCCAGATGAGACCTATACTTGCAGCTGTTGTGGTAGGACCTGCTTGTCCCGCATAGGCCTCTTCAGCCACCAGCGTGCCTGCAGAAGACGTGGATGTCCTTCCTAGATCTTCGTTCGCGAAGCCAAGCCATGATGATGGTGATGATGATGATTGTCATTAAAGGCCTGTGACAAAGGTGCATCTATTGGAGTGACATCGTCTCTGGCTTACACATCTACCGGGTCTCCATTTGACTTTGTATTGTCTCGGAGGAAGTCCACCCACACCTCCACTTCCACAAACTGCTGGGAGTTGCCTCGCTCTGCCTCACAGTCAGAATTCTCCTCCTGCTTCACGTTGCCTCCATCGATGTGAAAGTCCGATTTTGGAATTGAATCTTCATCTTCACATTTTACCTTCACTTCTTCGCTCTTCACCATCACTTCTTCATATTCCACCTTCACCTCTTCATATTTCACCTCGATACCTTCAAAAGTTTCCAAGCTGGGATATTCTTCCGATTCTTGTTTAATGAGGGATGCGCTCATTGCGGCACTTTGACTTTCACAAGCTGATTTCAGACTACGCTCCTGGTGGATCGTCTGATGCTTGTGTGTTCTCTGGTGTCCTTGAAGATGTTGTGACTGTGCAAACGCCTTCCCACACACACTGCACTTGAAGGGTTTCTCTCCTGTGTGTGTCCTCTGGTGTGTTACAAGAGCAGATGGACGTGCAAACGCCGTCTCACACACACTGCACTTGAAGGGTTTCTCTCCTGTGTGTGTTTTCTGGTGCGATACAAGAGAAGATGACTGTGAAAACGCCTTCCCACACACACTGCACTTGAAGGGTTTCTCTCCCGTGTGTGTTCTCTGGTGTGCTATAAGAGTAGATACATTTATAAACGACTTCCCACACACACTGCACTTGAAGGGTTTCTCTCCCGTGTGTGTTCTCTGGTGTGGTATAAGAGAAGATGAATGTGCAAACCCTTTCCCACACACACTGCACTTGAAGGGTTTCTCTCCCGTGTGTGTTCTCTGGTGTGCTACAAGAGTAGATGAATCTATAAACGCCTTCCCACACACACTGCACTTGAAGGGTTTCTCTCCCGTGTGTGTTCTCTGGTGTATTACCAGATGAGCTGAACGTGCAAACGGCTTCCCACACACACTGCACATGAAAGGTTTCTCTCCTGTGTGAGTTCTCTGGTGCTGTGTAAGATGTTCAGTACGATCCGTGCTGTATGCACACCGGTCGCATTGATGCCTTTTTGCACCGCGCCGTGCCGAAGGCCTTTGCTCCATCAGACCAATTCTGCAGAGGCAGCGACAGCTGCAGAAAGAGAAAAAGAATATCCACACCATCTACACGTCAGTATCGATGTACAGAGGAATGCATATACACAGTCACACGTGACTTACACGTCTATAGTTATTCATGATATAGTGAAACATTTTCCCAAATTCATCACACGGGCTGTTATGGCACACAATGAGAGGCCAAATGGTCATAAACATGCCTGGAAGCCCTCGTATCTTCAAAATGAACGTTAACCCAAAACTCAGCACACAATTTCAGCTGTCTGGCTTCAAAATGAATATGTATGAAAGCTAAAATCAGCTGACATAGCAAAGGGTGTTGAAAATAATCCTATTTGTGTCATCCACAAATGCATAAATTAATGTTCAATCGCAACTTAGAGGTGTGAAGCCAGCCAGGCTCACGATGTCCTTGAATGCTGGGATGAACAGATCTGACTTCAGATGCAAGTGTGTGCTGTGATCACTTCTTGACTGTTTCCATTCTTACAAAGAGTTCCAGAGGAAAACAAAAAACAAACTACAGCTTTGATATAACCTCACTGTTCAATAGAGTTAATAGACTTTACTGCAAACACAAACTTTACACTGTCACACACTGGCATGGTTCACAGGTGGTGGTGTGTCCACACCCACGCCTGGCCACCTTCACCTGCTCAGTATTAATGCTTCCTCACTCCACCAAGTAATTCATTGACTACCTCTCCTGGCATACAGGAAGTCGTGGGTTCGATCCCAACCCTGACGCTGGCTGTATATTTGTAGTTTGCGTCTCTCTCTCTCTCTCCCCGTGGTCGCGTAGATTTCCCTCCGGATTACCCGGTTGTCCCCACTCCACATGCAGAGAATGAACACCACCACACGTCCAGAGTGAACACCGCCACGTGTCTAGAGTAAACACTGCCACGTGTCTAGAGTGAACACCGCCACGCGTCTAGAGTGAACACTGCCACGCGTCTAGAGTGAACACCACCACGCGTCTAGAGTGAACACCACCACGCGTCTAAAGTGAACACCACCACGCGTCTAGAGTGAACACCACCACGCGTCTAGAGTGAACACCACCACGCGTCTAGAGTGAACACCGCCACGTGTCTAGAGTGAACACCACCACGCGTCCAGAGTGAACACCACCACGCGTCCAGAGTGAACACCGCCATGTGTCTAGAGTGAACACCGCCACGCGTCTAGAGTGAACACCGCCACGTGTCTAGAGTGAACACCGCCACGCGTCTAGAGTGAACACTGCCACGCGTCTAGAGTGAACACCGCCACGCTGTTGACGAGCCTCACCTTGTTGTTGTTGTTGTTGTGGGCAGGTCGCTTGTGAAAACAAGAGCGGTATTGCAGCTCAAGCGGGCTTGGGCTGGTAAAAATATTAAAAACTGTGTTAATATTTAAAGTAAAACAAAGTTACAAAGTGGCGATCCGGGTCAAGACAAATTCAACTTAAGCGAGAGAATTGAAGCGAACGAGACCAGGCGAGGGCAGGAGGCAAGGCCCCGCGTTGTAAAGTTCCAACCTGGACATCGCTTCCATGCTCGCTGCTACTCAATTGACATCCCTACGAGTGAGACAGCTCTACCTCGGTACACAACAACCACCACCATATCTTCTTGGTTCTTTCGGTAAAGTCACGTAGAATGGAAATAATAAAATAATAAAAATAAAACATAATAAGATAATTCTCACGACGTTTCGGCCACAACGCAAGCAGCCATCCTCAGGTGAAGAACAGGTCTGTCAGAAAGACAGCATCTGAATGAACACCACAAGGCTTGGCAGCATATATTTAAGCTGGGTTGGAGGGGGAAGAGCTCCTTGATAAAGGAAGTTGCATATCAAGAGGAATTTAGCATATTTATGGGAAATGCAGGTATGTGATTAGTACTACTGTAATGCGGTTGTAAACGGCCCTTCTGAGGTGCCGTCAGGGGGGGAGGAGTTAGGTCACGTGGGGGGCAGAGGGGTTGAGTATAGAAGGAGGGGAACCGGAAGAGCAAGGGGAGTGACGGGGAGCCAGGAACAGAGGAAGGCCACGTAGGGCGAAGCGGGGTGTGGCGAGATCGCCACGAACACGGGGGAAGCGAGGATCGGCACCGTTGGCCAGCGGTGACCGGCCCGAAGCAGCGAGGAGGCTGCAGTCAGCAGCGGGGCTGCACAGAGAGGGTGGGCAGCGGGTCTGCATACAGTGACAGCCAGAGGGTCTGCACATAGGGGTAGCAGCCGGAGTCTGCATAGGGGTAGCAGCGAGTCTGCAGGGAGGAGGTTACAATAGATGAAGCAGAGAGTCAGAGGGGAGAGGAAGCTATAATAACAGTGAATAGCCGGGGGCTACAAATACAGGAGTTATAACAGAGTGCCGTGTGGGTAAAGACGTGAACCTGAATAAAGACACGAAGACAGAAAGAAGTGTTCGAGTCCTTTTATTACACTGGAGTCAGAAGTGAAACGGCATGGCGAAACAACTGAGGAAGAAGAATATCCCATCTCCGGCGTCGGCTTCATCATCGGACGACGACGATCTTCCTCCTGAGGTCGGCTTCACTTCGGCGGAGGGAGAGATCTGTGAAGGCCCGGGTGTGGAGGAGGTTGCCACTGCGCCCGACCCATCTGCGTTGAAGGACGAAGATTTAAGATGGACCCGGATGGCGGAGCAACTGGCGACCTTAAAAACCGTCATCACGGAGTTGTGTGACCTTGTCACGCCAAGGGCGGCGTTGGAAGGTGATGGTGGTGATCGGCAGGAGCCCGGGTCGTCTTCGATGGCGCCGCCATCGACCACGCGGCGTGAAGACGCCATCTTGGGCGTGGCGCACCACGGAAGGCGGGAAGCCGCCATCTTGGGGCCGCCACGAAGATCGTCCGCCATCTTGGCGACACCGCGTTGCGACGCCTTGCTGAACTTGCCGCCGGAAGAGTCGGTGACGGACGGAAGCAAGCCAAGGAGCCGCAGTCGTCACCTTACGACTGTTAAGGAGTTCTCCATCGGGGGCGATTGGAGTGCGTTCGCTTGTCGATTTTTGGCGGCGGTACGAACGGCAAGGTGGACGGACGCCGAGGCGCTGGAGGTGCTTCCGACTCTCCTTGACGATGAGTCTGTTCGTTTTTTTCGCTCTATAAAAGCTGCAAAGAAGAAAACATTGCGTGGAGTGTTCGACGAAATGGCGGACGCGTACGAGCCACCGGATGACGCCCATCGCCGCTTCGTGCAGCGGCAACGCGCACCGGAGGAGTCGCCTGTAGCATACAGGGGCGCCGTGCTGGAACTCGCGATGGCCGCTTACCCGGAGACGGAGCCTGACCTGCTGGAACCTCTCATCTTGGGGAAGATGTTGGAGTTATCCCGGGATCTGGGCATTCCTATGCCGGCTTGCGGTCACGAGAAACTCACGTCCCGGACCGCGGCTAAGTGTTTGGACTGCCCAGTTCAATCTCCGCCGCTGGAAACAAGTCACGGCGTGGACGGGCGGTCCTGTCGTCGATGGGGGGGCCGTAGGGTGGGACCCTACAAAGGCCGTGTACGTGCCGGATGCGACCGGCCCAAAGGAGCTGTCGGCCGCCTCCACTCCGTGGCCGGCTCGAAGCGAGCCGGGGCCGCGGGCTCCGCCGCCGGCGCGGCCACGTCGGGACGGGGTGCCTGCTGCGCGCCGACCCGACGTCGACTGTTTCCGCTGCGGCCGTCGGGGCCACTATGCCAGGGACTGCTGGGCCCGGGTTCCGGGGCCGCCCCAGCAGGAGGCCTCGATCGCGGACGTCCCAAAGAAAGACCCTCCGGCACAGGCAAGTCGGTGCGCACCAGACACCCGGCAAGGCCTGACACCTCACTCATCGCCGTTGTTGTGCGACGCGGATGTTCTAAAATATGGGAGGCCAGTATCTGCGCCTTGTCGCTCGATAACGCAGTGGCGTAAGTTGGCTCGGCGGGTTGTCGCGGCCGCTACAGGTTCGTCCACTGTACCGGGGTCGATCCAAGGGGTGGACGTGCGTATTTTGGTGGATTCCGGGGCGTCCGCGACCATTATTTCGGATGTCATATTCCATCTTTTGAACATCCCACCGGGGGCCGTGAGGCCGGCTTACGCTTCTTGCATCGCTGCGAACGGGGGTAGTATGGGCATCGTGGGACAGGTGGACGCTAATATTTCTATCGGGGGGGTCTCGGCCTCGGGCGTTGTGTTAATTTCGAGGTCCCTGGCGGTTCCTTGCTTGTTGGGCACGGATTTTTTGGCTAAGATGCCCATTCTAATTAGAATCAATGAAAATTGCATTGAACTACCAGGGGGCCGCAAATTGGCGTTTTTACAGTCCGCCTGGGGGCGACCGGCTCCGGTTGCCCAGGTGCAGGCATTATCGGAAGTTTCAGTTGATATTCCACCTGGCTCGCAGATGCTCATTCCCCTACGATACCGGAAGCCGGTTCCGGGTCGGCAGGGTGCTTGTGGAATTTTGCTGTCGCCGTCCGCCGCTGTCACGGGCGGATTGGCATTGGTGGGGGCGCAAACCATTGTCCGTCCGGATCAACGCCCGTTTTTGCAGGTGTTAAATGCGAGTTCTGAAAGTGTGTGTGTGCCGGCTGGTACCGTTGTGGCACACGCCACTACGGCGTTTACGGCTCAGAGTGACATTCCGGACGGGGGGCTGGTGGGTGGTGTTTCACACGACGGAGGGGTGGACGATCGTTGGATCGCCGAACTATGTGCGGAAAATTCGGCCCTTTCCGCTGAGCAGCGTTGTGCCATTCATAAATTATTAGCGAGCTATTCCGATGTGTTTAGCTCGGACGATTTGGACTTGGGACGCACCTCGCTGCTCTCTCATCACATCGAAACGGGGGACGCGGCCCCTATCCGCTTGAACTCGCGTCGGATGAGTCCGGCTGAGCGTGAGCACGTTCGAGGGGCAGTGGAAGACATGTTGAAAGCGGATATTATATCTCCGTCTAACAGCCCGTGGGGCGCGCCTGTCGTGTTGGTTAAAAAGAAAGATGGTAAATTACGATTTTGTGTGGATTTTCGGAAGTTAAATAAAGTGTCGGTGGCAGATGCGTATCCCCTGCCGCGTATGGACGATTCTCTCGACGCCTTGTCAGGGGCTAAGTTTTTTTCAACGCTAGATCTCTCTTCGGGCTTCTGGCAGCTTCCCCTTGACGAGCCCTCGCGGGAAAAGACAGCGTTCCGTACGCCGCAGGGGTTGTTCCAATTTAACTGTCTGCCGATGGGGTTGAATGCAGCCCCTGCCACCTTTCAGAGATTGATGGAGTTGGTATTGACGGGGTTGCAGTGGGAGACATGTCTCATTTATTTAGATGATATTATTGTCTTCAGCCGCACATTTGATGAGCATTTATTGCGGTTGGAGGCCGTTTTTGCCAGAATGCGTTCTGCTAATTTGAAATTCAAGCCTAAGAAATGTCATCTACTGCAACGTTCCGTTCGATACTTGGGACATATTGTTAGTGCGGACGGGGTGGCCACGGATCCAGAGAAAACTGCGTGTGTCCGGGATTGGGCAACCCCCGCCACGGTGGGTGATGTGCGTCGGTTTTTGGGGTTCGCCTCATATTATCGGAGGTTTGTTCCGAATTTCGCTACTATCGCCAGGCCTTTGCATCTCCTTACTGGGAAGGGGCACAAATTTGTGTGGGGACCGCCGGAGGAGGCGGCGTTTCGGAGCCTGCGCGATCTACTGGCTACTGCGCCGACGTTGGATTATCCGGATTTTGAACATCCCTTCATTCTGGATACTGATGCGAGTGACACCGGGATTGGGGCGGTGTTGTCCCAGTCAAAAGGTGGTGTTGAGCGTGTGGTGGCGTACGGGAGTCGGGTTTTGTCTCCCGCGGAAACTCGTTACTGCGTCACTCGCAGGGAACTTTTGGCTATTGTGTATTTTCTCCGCCAATTTCGACCGTATCTGTACGGTCGGTCGTTTATTGTCCGAACGGACCATGCGGCCTTGCAGTACGCTCTTAAGATGGACCAGCCATCCGGACAATTGGCGAGATGGCTGGACACGTTGCAAGAATTCTCCTTCCAAATTCACCATCGGAAGGGTGTGCGTCACGCTAACGCGGACGCACTGTCCAGGTTGCCGCAACAATCCCCTTGTGCGTGTGCGTCGGGGACGCATAGGTGTGGACCGGCTCAGCCCCCCCCTCAGCCTGTCGCGCGGGCAGTGGATGTTCTCGAACCTCCGCTTACACCGGGACCGGTTGAAGGGGGACCGGCTGACGGGATTTTGCGTCTTCCAAGGTCTGTGTGGATTCGGGAGCAAATGTTGGACGATTCTTTGGTGTCGTTACGGAAACGAACGGAGAGGGCGGGTAAGGAAGTCGGTGCGGGTGGTAATTCGGAAACTGCTCTCCGAGATGGGTTACTGATGTGGAGGGAAGGGATACAGGAACACTGGCGTCTCGTTGTGCCCGCGTCATTGCGCTATGAGCTCATTAGATCTTTGCACTGTGACACACTTTTACACCTGGGGGTGCAGAAAACCCTATTGACGCTGCAACGAGACTATTATTGGCACGGCATGACGACGGATGTCGTCGGTCACGTTCGCGCGTGTCCCGATTGTGCCCGCCGTAAGCCGCCTAAACATCCATATGTTCCGCCGATACAATCGATTAAAGTATCTCGGGTTAATGAGCTGGTGGCGTTAGATATTTTGGGGCCCTTTCCGCCATCAGCTAAAGGGAATAAGTATTTATTGGTGGGGGTGGAGTACCTCTCTCGCTGGCCGATGGCCTGGCCCTTGCCTGACCAGTCAGCGGCGTCTATTACTGACGCCTTTCTATTTGGGTATGTAATGGACAAAGGGGCTCCGGAGAGGCTCCTTACGGATCAGGGACGTAACTTTTCATCTAAATTGTTGGGGGAGGTGTGTGCGGCTCTTGGAACTAAAAAGATACGGACGTCCCCCTACCACCCGCAAACGGATGGTATGGTGGAACGGTTGAATCGGACTCTGTCCGCCATGCTGTGCCATACAGTCGGGGAAAACCAATCTGATTGGGATTTGCATATCCCTGGGGTGCTTTCGGCGTATCGCATGACGCCGCACGCGGCTACTGGATACTCGCCGTTTTTCCTTATGTACGGCCGTGAGAACGTGCCGCCGATTCATGACCAGTTGGGAACCGGTGCGAGGGGGCCTGTTAAGCCTCTTCCTGAGTATATTAAGGACAACGTTCGGCGTGTCGCTGAGGCGAGGGAAAATGCCCGCATGGCTACTGCCAAGGCTCAGGCCAGGAATGAGCGGTGTGCCCGACGTTCAAAGGGGGAGTGTCCCTGGAAAAAGGGGGACCTGGCCTGGCTTCATTGCCCACAGGTGCGGCCAGGTACATCTCCTAAATTACATCGACCTTGGCAGGGTCCGGTCCGCCTCATTGAGGTTCCCAACCCACAGTCGGCGCGTGTTCAGGTTGGTGCACGGCGTTGGTTCGTGCACACGTCCCGGTTGAAGCCATACATTGCCCCACGGCCGGATGCGTCATCTCCCAAAGTTGCCTTGCCGGGGTCTGTTGCTGCCGACTCGCCCTTGCCTGTGTCTGCTGACCTTGCGAGAGCGCCTGTCGTACCCTTCACAGACAAGCCGGCCGTGACAGCGCAGGGAGGAGGACCTTCCGCTTGTGGGACGCCGACCGGAGCCGCAGAACCCACGGGACCTGCAGCTCTTCCTATCCCTCCGCGGACGCGAGTACGGGATGTTTCTGGACGCGAGCGGGACAGTGGCGGGCCTCCAATGGCGACGGAAGAACTTGCGCCCGTCGCCCCTAAAACCCTTCCACGTTCCCGCTCGGCGGGTGGGCCGCCGACCGTCCGGGACGGCCCGGCTACCCGTACTCGCTCGAAATCCCTCACGTTTCGTTAGATTGTGTTGTGTTGTGTTATTGTTATGATGTTCTTCAATGCTTCGTGTCTTTTTGCGTGTTGGCCCTTTACACCCGCATTGCTTTTCAGGTTGCAATTCAGCCGAGGTCGGCTGGATTTTCTTTAAGGGGGAGGGTGATGTAATGCGGTTGTAAACGGCCCTTCTGAGGTGCCGTCAGGGGGGGAGGAGTTAGGTCACGTGGGGGGCAGAGGGGTTGAGTATAGAAGGAGGGGAACCGGAAGAGCAAGGGGAGTGACGGGGAGCCAGGAACAGAGGAAGGCCACGTAGGGCGAAGCGGGGTGTGGCGAGATCGCCACGAACACGGGGGAAGCGAGGATCGGCACCGTTGGCCAGCGGTGACCGGCCCGAAGCAGCGAGGAGGCTGCAGTCAGCAGCGGGGCTGCACAGAGAGGGTGGGCAGCGGGTCTGCATACAGTGACAGCCAGAGGGTCTGCACATAGGGGTAGCAGCCGGAGTCTGCATAGGGGTAGCAGCGAGTCTGCAGGGAGGAGGTTACAATAGATGAAGCAGAGAGTCAGAGGGGAGAGGAAGCTATAATAACAGTGAATAGCCGGGGGCTACAAATACAGGAGTTATAACAGAGTGCCGTGTGGGTAAAGACGTGAACCTGAATAAAGACACGAAGACAGAAAGAAGTGTTCGAGTCCTTTTATTACACTACTTATGCCCGTGCATTATGCAGGATTAGCAGCATCAAAGGGAGGGGATATGGGAAATGCAGGTATGTGATTAGTAATACTTATGCCCGTGCATTATGCAGGATTAGCAGCATCAAAGGGAGGGGATATGGGAAATGCAGGTATGTGATTAGTAATACTTATGCCCGTACATTATGCAGGATTAGCAGCATCAAAGGGAGGGGATAGGGGTAGCATTAATAAAGGGAAGGAGTGTTAATAGTATGTAGCTGCAGTAACTAAAACCACCACGTAAACAACTAAAGTATAAACTACATAGTATCATCAGTATACTAAATATACTCTACAATAAGCTGAGTTACTAACAGTAAGTAATACATTACAATTCTACGTCGTAAAAAATATAATATGCTTCCATCTAAACTTTATTCTCTTACATCACACGAGTCTACACCGTACTATATACTGCCATAGACAAACCCAACATTAATTTACATACTGTATTGCTATAAACCACCTTATACATTGCAATATTACACTATGTATTAATCTACCCACCCTAATGTGTATCACACTGCTGTATATTCACTATACAATTACGATACTATATATTACTTTGTACATTGTATTAAGCATATACATTTTATACTATTTGTTATTATACACTGTACCATTGACCGTCGTGTGAAAGATACTAAGAGGAAGCAACGAAATATGTCAATGGGAGAGTAGTGAAGGGAAACTTGCAGCGGAGCAAAGAATCCATTCCCTGCAAAGAATACAATGCCAGTGAGTGGAACGCGGTCTGAAAGTCACCGTAAACGTGAACACAATCAGTTAAGATCCGAAATGGTTTATTACGTCCTTCCAATGATTGCTAAGCCAGAATCCATCTTCTCGGTTGAAATTGTCTCTGTGTTTGTATATGTGGATCGCCTCATGAACGAATTTCTCATGATAGCCAGATGGCTTGCAGAGAACCTCTGTCTTGGAGAAGTCAATGTCATGTGAGCCCACTGAGTTGTAACAGTGATCTGCCACGGCTGAGGTGTTTGTCCTACCGTGTTTCAAGTCTGCTTTATGTTCACGGATGCGGTCCGAGACATGTCGTTTGGTTTCTCCAATGTAACTGCTACCACAGAGGCAACTTAAGTTTGTAGACGCCAGGGTACTGTATGTCTGGAACCACATCTTTTACAGACGGGACCAGATCACGGATTTTATGTACTGTGTTGAATCGGACCTGGATATTGTGTTTTATCAGGATTTTGGAGATATTTTTTGTGAGCCCAGCAATGTAGGGTAAGGTGATGGTCTTGAAAGGCTCCTCAACAGGATCCTCCACCATCACCACCACCACAACCACCACCACAACCACCACCACAACCACCACCACCACAACCACCACAACAACCACCACTACCACAACCACCACCACCACCACCACTACCACAACCACAACCACCACAACAACCACCACCACAACAACCACCACCACCACAATAACCACAACAACCACCACCACCACAATCACCACAACAACCACCACAATAACCACAACCACAACAACCGCGATGAGAATTTCTCACCTCGGATTTCAGTGCACGGGTCGAGCGGCAACTTCCCGGTCCCTCGTGACGTCACGCGGCAGCAGGTGACATGACGTCACGAGGCAGCAGGTGACATGACGTCACGTGCGGGTACGATGTCACTTTTCTCCCCACAATTATGTTAATGAGCCGCCAGTCACCCGTGACGACCTCCACCGGTGCTGCTGCTCGCTATGAGCAGCACTTTGTGGATGTCGTGGCTTGGCTCTCCAGCAAACCGCTGGCGACATTTCACGATGACATTTTCACGTCCATAAAAGGAAAATCGCCATACGAACCTAGGCCGTTTTTTGGCAAAATTGGCCCAATTTTCATGGCTTTATTTTTCAACGAAAAGTTTATTCCTTGGTTGTGTTTATAGCCTGAGTAGCCCATATATTACGTAAAAAAGTTGGGAATTTGATGCATTAAATTTTCGAATATAAAAAAGTTCATCGGCATACTGTGCCGTTTTTAGGCTCAATAAGCCAAACTTATTTGTCGACAAAAGTTAATTTCTCCATTGTATTTAGCCTTAGTATGCTATGTATTAGATTAAAAGTGGAAAATTTCACGATGAAATGTTCACATTCCAAACAGGAAATCGGAATACTAACCTCTGCCGTTTTTGGCTAAAATTGAACGAATTTTTTTACAGATGTATTTTTAAACAAAAAGTGCATTCCTCGGTTGTGTTTAGACTGAGTAGCCTATATATTACAATTAAAGTGAGAAATTTCACCATGAAATTTGCTACATTTTCATAGCTAGATTTTCCAAGAAAAAGTGAATTCCTCCATTTTGTTAAGCATTAGTATTCTATATGTTACGTAAAAATGGGAAATTTCACAATGAAATTTTCAGATCCCAAAAGAAATCAGCACACAAACTGCACTCCATTGCTGGAAAATACTTCACGTCTATGGGACTACCAGCACCCTACAGGGACAACCTGCATACCCTTGCTCAAGAGATCCTACGTGAAATATGCTATTATGCTTGACAGATTCTTACATTTGTAGTGGCGGTACGCGCTGGCAGGGGGGGATCGTGTGAGAGCGCGTCGGGTGTGGCTACATTGCGTGGTGTAGTGGCGGTGCGTGCTGACAAGGGGGGGGATCGTGTGAGAGCGTGTCGGGTGTGGCTACATCGCGGTCCGCATAGGCCCCCCCCCCCCCCTGGAGCGGAGGACTATTTATGGCGATGTGCAGCAGCACTCGGCGAGTGGGTAACCAGTGAAGACAGAAGACGGAGGAGCAAGAGATAGGGCCCTGAGACCCCTAGCCCCGCTGTCCTTGTAAGGGCCGGGACCCTGTGCGGCTCAGAGGCGAGACCGTGGGACCCGGGGCCGGACGTCCTTGTGAGGGCCGGCTGTGGGACCCAGTGGTCGGGACCCATACCCCAGCCGGGGTGGGTCTGTGAGTTCCCCTGGAAGCTACGGGGCCGGAGAGCCCGTGTGTGTGTAGCCGGGTGGAACGCGTAGCGTAGGCTGTAGTTGGCTACACGTGTTTTTGTGGCTAAGTGGGTGTTAATAAAAGTGTGCTACCCGTCAAGTGGTCTCCCGCCGTAATTACTATATTACACATTTATTTAGGAAAATTAACCAAAGCTGATGGATGCACAAACAGAAGCCTACACGGAAATCTTGGAAGACATTGAGACTACAAATCGAGTCATTTGTATCATTGATGCACCTGCCAGTACTGGGAAGACCTTTGTTTTGAAACTGCTCCTCGCAAAGGCTCGCCAGAGAGAATTGCTCTAGCTGTGGCATCATCGGGGATTGCTGTGTGAGTCCATGTGTGAGTCGATGTGTGTCGCTGTGTGTGTGTGTGTCTATGTGTGTCAGATGTGTGTATGTACGTCGATGTGTATGTGTTAGTCCATGTGTGTGTTAGTCCATGTTTGTGTAAGTCAATGTGTTTGTGTGAGTCGATATGTGTAACTCCATGTGTGTGTATCTAAAGTCCATGTCTGTGTGTGTAAGTAGATGTGTTTGTGTGTGGGTCGATGTTTGTGTGTCTAAGTCCATGTGTGTGTCTTTTTCGCCCGGGCAACGCCGGATACTTCACTATAGTACTCTTATATCAGCGCACTTCGTCTCTCTGTGATGAACGCTGCACTTTCCATCACTCTCATGCAGGGGGCGCTGTAAACCTACGCGCCCCCTGCATGAACGACGGAGGAGCAGGGACAGACGTTCGATCGCGTTGGAATCGATCTGCAGACGGCGGTCTTCTGGCACGGCCAGCTCTGTTTTGCCTCATCTCCACCCCGCGAACCCAACCAGGTGAAAGTCCGCATCGAACCGAACCCCGGCAAGGCCATCTACTTAACGACGAGAAAAAATTCACACTAAATGTCGCTTTCAATTAAGTCTTCCAGATGTAAAATGATATAAGCTTTAATGAAGAAATACAATTATCTAATTCTAAACATAATACAATTCAAAGTTGTTTCATTTTAAAACTTCAAAACGGAGCATCGGGAGTTTGTGTGGATGCATCGTTCGTGTGCAATTTTTTTCGTGACTTTCCTGGCCCAAGGCCGTAAATGGTTGTGAGGGGGCTGCAGGCGGTCAGGCTTGCTTCAACCCATGGTTGTGAACATCCAGACGTTAATCGGCAAGGATCATTTCTTGTCCTAGTTCACCAACAAATAAGACTTCATGCAAAATTCTGAGTGTTGTTGTGGAGAATGTATCTACTCGATGTGCTCTGCCTTGTAACCGAATACAAATCTCTACCAAAAATGCATTCCAAATATGCTCTTAAAATTACCTCTTTGCTATGAAGCAGATCAGCAGACACGACATCTTTCATTTATCGATCTCTCCACGAAACAAAGGAATGTTTTACACAAACGATAACTAGCACAGCCTTCTGGGAGTGCATCATTGATTCAGTGCAAGCCACCTGTGCACCACGATTGGTGCACAGAGTCTCAACAGCAGCCGGGCTTGTTTCAACCGATATCTTCAAACATCCAGACGTTAATCTGTAAGGAGCATTTCTAGTCCTAGTTAGACGAAATTTGTGTCAACATGTAATACCAAATTATAATTCGTGTTGTAGAGAATGTATCTCCACTACGTGTATCTTTTGAGTGGTATGCCTTGTAATTGAATGATCCGAGTGTGCTCCCTATTTCAAAGACAATGAGTTGCTCCAGAGGGAGATGTTTCCTGAAAACACAAAAGTACCCATTGACCTGTATCACAAGAACAATGAGTCTCACCTGAGTTATCTGTCCAGGTTACTTCCAAAACATCACTGATTCAATGTTTGACCCTTATAGACAAAATGTTACATGTACACGCACAATCGGACAAGTATTCATTCTAAATTAGTGACAGGCATATTAACAAAATGTAATTACTGCACTGAAATATACTGCATCAGGTTACATCGCATTAACAAGCTATATAAAAAAAAAACTGCATCGTCTGCTTAACAGTGTATGTACAACATACTAATGCACCATTCAAAACGAGTAGGCCATTGCATGCTGGCGTCTGGGTCACAATTGAGCAAATTCTAAACATTACCTACAAACTACACAACTCAGATGCCACATTAATCATCGCCTCCTACTGCCCGGCTCTAGTCCACATGCAGGCCGGTGCAGGGCCACCACCTTGTGGCCAGAGGTCGCAATCGGGTACCCGATTCCCGTACCCTACCCGATACCCGGCTACCCGTACCCGGCCGGGTATGGGTACCCGTTGGCGACCCTGGTGCGGCCGGGTACGGGTAGGCCGTGAGTCACTGGCGAGTAACCGTTTGTCACTCATTTCCCAACGTCTTGTCTCTTCTCACAATTCAAGTTCCTAGAATCAACCCACCCGCGCATGCAACATGGCTTCATCCCAGAGGTCGCAATCGGGTACTCGTCTCCGTACCCTATACGATACCTGGCCGGGTACAGGTAGCCGGGTATCGGGTAGGTTACAGGTACCATTTGCGATCCTGGTGCGGCCAGGTCCGGGTATGGAATCAAAACCCGTTTGCGACCTCTGCTTGTGGCACAGGGGCAGCTGCTACTTGGGGATGCTCTTCGAGTGTTTGAGACGAGATACGATGCAAAACTCCGAATTGCCGAGGCAATTAAGCAAGCACAATATAAATGCAATTATGATAACATAGAGAATGCTTGGGAGCTTATTGGCTCCCGCTCCTGGTTAGAGATCTACCCAACCCACAGGTCCACACAGACTGGCCGCTCTTACCCTGCAGGTTGAACCTAGGAATTGAGTGTTCAACTTCACATTCTTGTCATTAAAGGCCTGTGACAAAGGTGCATCTATTGGAGTGACATCGTCTCTGGCTTACACATCTACCGGGTCTCCATTTGACTTTGTATTGTCTCAGAGGAAGTCCACCCACACCTCCACTTCCACAAACTGCTGGGAGTTGCCTCGCTCTGCCTCACAGTCAGAATTCTCCTCCTGCTTCACGTTGCCTCCATCGCTGTGGTCCGATTTTGGAGTCGACTCTTCATCTTCACATTTTACCTTCACTTCTTCGCTCTTCACCATCACTTCTTCACATTTCACCTTCACCTCCTCACATTTCACTTCGATACCTTTAAAAGTGTTCAAGCTGGAATTTTCTTCTGGTTCTTGTTTCATGAGGGATGGGCTCATTACGGCACTTTGACTTTCACAAGCTGATTTCACACTCCACTCCTTGTGGATCTTATGATGCTTGTGTGATCTCTGGTGTTTTTGAAGATGTGGTGACCGTGCAAACGCCTTCCCACACACACTGCACCTGAAGGGTTTGTCTCCCGTGTGTGTTTTCTGGTGTGCTACAAGAGTAGATGGAAGTGCAAACGCCTTCCCACACACACCGCACTTGAAGGGCTTCTCTCCCGTGTGGGTTCTCTGGTGTTTTTTAAGAGTCGATGAACGTGAAAACGCCTTCCCACACACACTGCACTTGAAGGGTTTCTCTCCCATGTGTGTTCTCTCACTGCACTTGAAGGGTTTCTCTCCCGTGTGTGTTCTCTGGTGTTTTTTAAGAGTCGATGAACGTGAAAACGCCTTCCCACACACACTGCACTTGAAGGGTTTCTCTCCCGTGTGTGTTCTCTGGTGTTCTACAAGATGTGGTGAGTGTGCAAACGCCTTCCCACACACACTGCACTTGAAGGGTTTATCTCCCGTGTGTGATCTCTGGTGTATTATAAGAGAAGATGAACGTGCAAACGCCTTCCCACACACACTGCACTTGAAGGGTTTCTCTCCCGTGTGTGTTCTCTGGTGTTTTACAAGAGCAGATGACTGTGCAAACGCCTTCCCACACACACTGCACTTGAAGGGTTTCTCTCCCGTGTGTGATCTCTGGTGTGTTATAAGAGAAGATAAATGTGCAAACGCATTCCCACACACACTGCACTTGAAGGGTTTCTCTCCCGTGTGTGTTCTCTGGTGTGCTACAAGACTAGATGAATCTATAAACGCCTTCCCACACACACTGCACTTGAAGGGTTTCTCTCCCGTGTGTGTTCTCTGGTGTTTTTTAAGAGTCGATGAAAGTGCAAACGCCTTCCCACACACACTGCACTTGAAGGGTTTCTCTCCCGTGTGTGTTCTCTGGTGTTTTTTAAGAGTCGATGAAAGTGCAAACGCCTTCCCACACACACTGCACTTGAAGGGTTTCTCTCCCGTGTGTGTTCTCTGGTGTACTACAAAAGTAATTGAATGTGTAAACGCCTTCCCACACACACTGCACTTGAAGGGTTTCTCTCCCGTGTGTGCTCTCTGGTGTTTTACAAGATGTGGTGACTGTGCAAACGCCTTCCCACACACACTGCACTTGAAGGGTTTCTCTCCCGTGTGTGTTCTCTGGTGTACTACAAGAGTAATTGAATGTGTAAACGCCTTCCCACACACACTGCACTTGAAGGGTTTCTCTCCCGTGTGTGCTCTCTGGTGTTTCACAAGATGTGGTGACTGTGCAAACGCCTTCCCACACACACTGCACTTGAAGGGTTTCTCTCCCGTGTGTGTTCTCTGGTGTGTTACAAGAGCAGATGAATATAAAAATGCCTTCCCACACACACTGCACTTGAAGGGTTTCTCTCGCGTGTGTGTTCTCCGGTGTTCTACAAGACCAGATAACTGTGCAAACGCCTTCCCACACACACTGCACCTGAAGGGTTTCTCTCTCGTGTGTGTTCTCTGGTGTTCTACAAGAGTAATTGAATGTGCAAACGCCTTCCCACACACACTGCACCTGAAGGGTTTCTCTCCCGTGTGTGTTCTCTGGTGTTCTACAAGAGTAATTGAATGTGCAAACGCCTTCCCACACACACTGCACTTGAAGGGTTTCTCTTCCGTGTGTGTTCTCTGGTGTTTTACTAGATGTGGTGACTGTGTAAACGCCTTCCCACACACACTGCACTTGAAGGGTTTCTCTCCCGTGTGTGTTCTCTGGTGTGTTACAAGAGCAGATGAATATAAAAATGTCTTCCCACACACACTGCACTTGAAGGGTTTCTCTCCCGTGTGTGTTCTGTGGTGTATTTTAAGAGTAGATGACTCTGCAAACGCCTTCCCACACACACTGCACTTGAAGGGCTTCTCTCCCGTGTGTGTTCTCTGGTGTGTTACAAGAACAGATGGACGTGCAAACGGCTTCCCACACACACTGCACTTGAAGGGTTTCTCTCCTGTGTGAGTTCTCTGGTGCTGTGTCAAATTTTCAGTACGATCCGTGCTGTATGCACACCGGTCGCATTGTTGCCTTTTTGCACCGAGCCGCGCCGACTGCCTTTGCTCCATCAGACAAATTCTGTAGAGGCAGCGACAGCTGCAGACAGAAAAATAGATCCACACCATCTACACATCAGTATCAATGCAAATACACAGTAACACGTGCCTTACACGTCTATACTTATTCACATATACATGATATCGTAAAAAAGCGTCCCAAATTCATCACACGGGCTGTTATGGCACACAATGAGAGGACAAATAGTTAGAAAAATGCCTGGAAGCCCTAGTATCTTCAAAATGAATGTTAACCCAAAACTCCGAGCACACAATTTCGGCTGTCTGGCTTCAAAATAAATGTTTCTGAAAGCTAAATTTAGCTGACAAAGCAAAGGGTGTTGAAAATAATACTATTTGTGTTATCCACAAATGCATAAATTAATGTTCAATCACAACTTAGAGGTGTGAAGCCAGGCACAGATGTCCTTGGTTGCTGTGATGAACAGTTCCGACTTCAGCTGCACGTTTGTGCTGTGATAACTTCCTCACTCCAATCTTACAAAGACTTCCAGAGGAAAACACAAATAAACTAATCTTAATTTTGGAGCTTTCGTGACTGCAGGAATTATTCTTTGGTTCTTTCGGTAAAGTCACATATAAAGATAAAATAATAAATTAAATAATACCATACTACGACGTTTCGATTGCAACACAAGCAATCATCATCAGGTATAAAAGAAATAGCAACAAAAATCTAACCAGAAAACTATAGACAGACATATAAGCAGACAGACATCATAAAGATACACAGAGAGAACACATATCGGCACAAAGAGAGAGGTCGTTGTCCACTCATTGACATGCTAATTTTTTCTCTGCCCCCTCCCTCTCTCCACCCCCGCCCCCTCTCTATATTTAAGGACCCGTCACAGAGACGACCTCTCTCTTTGTGCCGATACGTGTTCTCTCTCTGTGTATCTTTATGATGTCTGTCTGCTTATATGTCTGTCTATAGTTTTCTGGTTAGATTTTTGTTGCTATTTCTTTTATACCTGATGATGATTGCTTGTGTTGCAATCGAAACGTCGTAGTATGCTATTATTTAATTTATTATCTTATCTTTATACGTGACTTTACCGAAAGAACCAAAGAAAAATAAACTACTGTTTTGATATAACCTCCGTGCTCAATAGAGTTAATAGACTTTACCGCAAATACAAACTTCATACTGTCGCACAGAGGCGGAGTCAGGATTTGCAGGTGGGGGGGGGGGGGGGTAACACCTCCAGAAATGAAAAACGATAGGAGTTGTAAGTAAGGAGTTGTTAGTAAGTAAGAACCTCGGCATCGCGCTCGCTGAAGGTGTTGATGCCTTCAGGGAAGTCGTGTACTGTACACGCAACTGCGCACAATTCTGTGAGTGGCTTGTAACTGCTTTGCCGTTACTTATTGCCAATTATGGACACGGACTGTTGTCCTCTCAGAGTCCCTGGCACGTAATAATATGCCACACGGTGGCGGCGGTGGGGGTCGCAAAATGCCGATTTATCTATGTATAAAAAAAGGAAATTTGTGAATATGTCTGTTCGAAATGTTTAGCATACTTCCCGACATGCAACAAACTTGAAATTTGGCATGTGGGTAGCTTCCACACTGTACACAATGCAAAAAGTATAAAAATAGAATAATAAAAATAAAACATAATAAAATAATTCTCACGACGTTTTCGGCCACAACGCAAGTACCCGTCCTCAGGTGAAAACCAGGTCTGTCGAGGCGACAGCGTCTGAATGAAACAGCACACGTGCTTGGAGCATGTATATAAGCTGGGTTGGAAGGGGGGAAAAAAGGGGGGAGCCTTGACAAAAGAATATGCATATCAAGAGGAATTTAGCATATTTATGGGAAATGCAGGTATGTGATTAGTACTACTTATGCCCGTGCATTATGCAGGATTAGCTGCTAATCCTCCGTGCATTATGCAGGATTAGCAGCTAATCCTGCATAATGCACGGGCATAAGTAGTACTAATCACATACCTGCATTTCCCATAAATATGCTAAATTCCTCTTGATATGCATATTCTTTTGTCAAGGCTCCCCCCTTTTTTCCCCCCTTCCAACCCAGCTTATATACATGTGTGGTGGTCAAGAATGACACAGGTCACACAACCTAGGGGAGGGGTACGTACCGGTTTGGACCGGTTTGTACCGGCAGGGACGAGAGGCGGTTGGAAACGCTCTGAGGGGAGGGGGCTGGCGAGAGCCAGGGCCCGAGTCACCCCCACCCCTCAGGGAGGGGATATATAAGACGGCTCCCGGAGAGCGGGAGTCAGTCTATCTCATCTGAAGCTGAAGGAGGTGCCGCCGGAGATCCGGGACCCCAAGCCTCGAGGATGCCGCCCCGCCGGGACTGAGTGGCCGAGGGGGCCGTGAAGCGTCCCTGGGCGGAGTAGCTATAGACTAGGGAAGGAGAGTAGTAGGGAATAGAGTGGAGGCCATACCTCCCTAGGTTGTGTGGTTGGGCTGTTCCCCCAGTGAGTGAGGACTAGTGGTTATTGGAAATAAAGCGTGTGGCCTCTAAAAGAAGTCTCCGTCTCATTCAAGATATTACACATGCTCCAAGCACGTGTGCTGTTTCATTCAGACGCTGTCGCCTCGACAGACCTGGTTTTCACCTGAGGACGGATACTTGCGTTGTGGCCGAAACGTCGTGAGAATTGTTTTATGATGTTTTATTTTTATTATTTTATTACTTCCTTCTACGTGACTTTACCGGAAGAACCAAGAAGATGAATCCCTGCAGTCACGAAAGCTTTAAATGGAAATATAAAAATAGACTTTTGTATTTTGGGAAGGGGGCGGGGGCACAATAATGCATTTATTTTGCACGCAAGTGAGCGGTGACATCACATCTGTGATCACATCTGTGATGTCACACCCGCATGCGGCAGCGTTACGCAGTGTGCTTGCTGACGTCACCCCCCCCCCCCCCCCAAACACTCCGCGTAGGCCGTGTTTTAATCCAAGACAAGAATCCAAGTCCCGGGCGAAGCCGGGTAGTAAAGATAGTCTATATATAAAAGTGAAATGTGTGGATACGTGTGTCTGTTCGAAATGTTTAGCATATTTCCCAACATGCAACACACTTGAAATTTGGCATGTGGGTAGGTTCCATACTGTACACAATGTAATAGCTATAAAAATAGACTTTTGTATTTTGGGAGGAGGGGGGGAGAAATGACCATGGAGTGTGTGGCGTCAACCCGCAACACACCTGAGTTAAGCGCTCTGCAACGCTTACCCCCCTACCATATGGCTCTTCGGGCGCCGTACTTCTACAGCTGTTCATAGCGTGCCGAGATATTTTAGGTGGCGCTTCGCTCCTGGCCGATGAAGGCATTAGCTTCTCGGAGTTTCAATACAAATCCGTGCGAAGAACGTGTACAACTGCCATCTTAAATATGAAGCAGAAATGGCATCTGTTTGTTTGTGTGAAGCAGCAATAACTGTCCAACGCTGAGCTCTGGCGTCATGAAAGTTTCACAGCTTATGCTGTCTGGAATTTATAAGCGAATGCGACTATTTTCAGCTCGCCACGTCATTCCCTTCCCGAGTTGCCAAAATTGACATTACGTAGAAGTGGGTTAAGGTTGAATTTCCTTCAGTGAAAAACATCCCATTTAGTTAAATTGATTTCTTTCAGCTTTTTTCTTTCTTACAAGAATCAATTTTTTAGGGTTTTTCACTGGCATGGTTCACAGGTGGTGGTGTGTCCAGACCCACGCCTGGCCACCTTCACCTGCTCAGTATTAATGCTTCCTCACTCCACCAAGTAATTCATTGAGGATCAACCAACACAGCCAAGGCTGCATGTCTCTCTCTCTCTCTCCATGGTGAGATGTTAACTACCTCTCCTGGCTTACAGGAAGTCGTGGGTTCGATCTCAACCCTGACGCCTGCTGTATATTTGTAGTTTGCGTCTCTCTCTCTCTCTCCCCGTGGTCACGTCGATTTCCCTCCGGATCCCCCGGTTGTCCCCACTCCACATGCAGAGAGTGAACACCGCCACGTGTCTAGAGTGAACATCGCCACGTGTCTAGAGTGAACACCGCCACGCGTCTAGAGTGAACACCGCCACGCGTCTAGAGTGAACACCGCCACGCGTCTAGAGTGAACACCACCACGCGTCTAGAGTGAACACCACCACGCGTCCAGAGTGAACACCACCAGGTGTCTAGAGTGAACACCACCACGTGTCTAGAGTGAACACCACCACGTGTCTAGAGTGAACACCGCCACGTGTCTAGAGTGAACACCGCCACGCGTCTAGAGTGAACACCGCCACGCGTCTAGAGTGAACACCGCCACGCGTCTAGAGTGAACACCGCCACGCGTCTAGAGTGAACACCGCCACGCGTCTAGAGTGAACACCGCCACGCGTCTAGAGTGAACACCGCCACGCGTCTAGAGTGAACACCGCCACGCGTCTAGAGTGAACACCGCCACGCTGTCTAGAGTGAACACCGCCACGCGTCTAGAGTGAACACGCCACGTGTCTAGAGTGAACCACCGCCACGCGTCTAGAGTGAACACCGCCACGCGTCTAGAGTGAAACACCGCCAACGCGTCTAGAGTGAACACCGCCACGCGTCTAGAGTGAACACCACCACGTGTCTAGAGTGAACACCACCACGTGTCTAGAGTGAACACCGCCACGCGTCTAGAGTGAACACCGCCACGTGTCTAGAGTGAACACCACCACGCGTCCAGAGTGAACACCGCCACGTGTCTAGAGTGAACACCGCCACGCGTCTAGAGTGAACACCGCCACGCGTCTAGAGTGAACACCGCCACGTGTCTAGAGTGAACACCACCACGCGTCTAGAGTGAACACCGCCACGCGTCCAGAGTGAACACCGCCACGCGTCCAGAGTGAACACCGCCACGTGTCTAGAGTGAACACCGCCACGTGTCTAGAGTGAACACCACCACGCGTCTAGAGTGAACACCACCACGTGTCTAGAGTGAACACCACCACGTGTCTAGAGTGAACACCACCACGTGTCTAGAGTGAACACCGCCACGTGTCTAGAGTGAACACCGCCACGTGTCTAGAGTGAACACCGCCACGTGTCTAGAGTGAACACCGCCACGTGTCTAGAGTGAACACCACCACGCGTCTAGAGTGAACACCGCCACGCGTCTAGAGTGAACACCACCACGCGTCTAGAGTGAACACCGCCACGTGTCTAGAGTGAACACCGCCACGTGTCTAGAGTGAACACCGCCACGTGTCTAGAGTGAACACCGCCACGCGTCTAGAGTGAACACCGCCACGCGTCTAGAGTGAACACCACCACGCGTCCAGAGTGAACACCGCCACGTGTCCAGAGTGAACACCGCCACGCGTCCAGAGTGAACACCACCACGCGTCCAGAGTGAACACCACCACGCGTCTAGAGTGAACACCGCCACGCGTCTAGAGTGAACACCGCCACGCGTCTAGAGGTGAACACCGCCACGCGTCTAGAGTGAACACCGCCACGGTCCTAGGGTGAACACCGCCACCGTCTAGAGTGAACACCGC